GTGCTCTTACCACGAGACCATACTCCCTAATTTAGGATTTTAGTTCCAGATTATGATTTAATTTTTAAAACATATTATATAGCTTAAATATACATTTTATTGTTTCTCCCATATACTATCTCTTTCATTTTACTTTGCTAAAATATACTCTTGAGTAACTGTTTTTACAAAGACCGGATATGTTCTTTCTTTCTCTCACATTTAAATGTTAGGTTGGCTAGGTCTAGAATCTTAGATTCACATTTATTAGTTTTGAGGAATCTGAAGACCCTGTACCCTTTCCAACTGGTATTTACTATTATTAATCAAAGAGATATCTGATGCCATCCCTTCTCCTTCAGAACTTTCTACCTATTTCCCTCATCCAGACACCTGGAAGGCCCTCTTCCCCGTTTTTAAATTGAGGATAATATTAAGTATACAAATATTAAGCATATAGTTTGAACATTTACATATATAAACTCCTGGAACCACCACCACCCAGATAGAGAGCACACGTACAGCATTCCAGAGCTCTCCCTCGTGCCCCCTTCACAACCAGATAAAGCAAGTCACCCCCTAGAAGTAGTGACGATTCTGACTTTTACAACTATATAAAAGTTTTACCTGTTCTTGAACTTTATATAAATGATTTCATACAGTATATAAGGCTTTGTGCTTGTTGAAAACCATGTTTTCATGTTCTTTCCAAACAGAAACTTGAAGCGAAGCTAGAGTTCTGGATGGAGAAATTTGATAAGGACACAGAAATGAAACAGAATGAACTAAATACTCTCAAATCTGCTAAGGCCAGTGACTTGGCACATCTTCAAGACCTTGCAAAAACGGTAAGGAAACAGTCTCAGTAGTGTAATACGGCTGAGCACCAAGGGGTAGGTGGTAGGTGAGCTACAGTAGGCGGGTCCTGCTGTTCCTGGTGACAAAGTGGAGGTGTGCCTATAATTCACTGAGATTCTGTCCTGTGATGATGACGATGGGGACAGTGATAGCAGCAGCCAACACTTGCATGGTGCTTGCTCTGTCCCAGGCACTTTAACTAGTATTTCGCATTTATAACTTATTTAATCCTCACAACAACCTCTTGAGATGGATACTATTAGTATTTCTACTTTATGGTCTCTGAAGCTAATCTGTAAATTATGATTTAAAAAAATTTTTTTAATGTTTTTTTATTTGTGAGAGAGAGAGATAGCGTGTGAGCCAGAGTCATGAAAGAAGGGGAGACACAGAATCCAAAGGTGGCTCCAGGCTCTGAGCTATCAGCACAGAGCCCAACGAGGGGCTCGAACCCACGAACTGTGAGATCATGACCTGAGCCGAAGTTGGATGCCCAACCGTCACCCAGGCACCCCTAAATTATGATTTTTAAAAAGCTTCTGATTATGGTTTCATCATTGAATAAACATAAAACTTCCTGAGTTTCTCTTTTATTTTTTAATTTTAAATGTTTCCTTTTGAGAGATACAGAGAAACAGAATGCAAGTGGGTGAGGGTCAGAGAGAGGAAGACACAGAATCTGAAGTAGGCTCCAGGCTCTGAGCTGTCAACGCAGAGCCCAATGTGGGGCTCGAACTCCTGAACCGTGAGATCACAACCTGAGCTGAAGTTGGACGCTCAACTAAGCCACCCAGGCGCCCCTCCCAAATTTCTCTCTTAAAAGATGGCTGCTGCTATTTTTATGCATACATTCTAGGAGGTAAAACAAATTACATTATTTTGAGGCCACTAATCACACATCAAATTAGTATTTCATTTTTATGCAAGATTTTATGCAAATTTGAATTATTAAAGTGAAAAACCTGTGGGGGACAATTACAAAGTTAATATATGAATATTTACAATATAGGAATCCAGTAAGTTTTATCTTTAGACTTGGCATGCTTTATGTTCAAATTTTATATTAAAAGTGCAGGGCTGGCTGGGCCACACCTTGCCAAGACAGTCTTATAACCTAGGATTAATGTCTACTTTTATAGATAAGGGAGTTTGAACAGATCATCATTGAAGATCGGATAGAAAAGGAGAAGACCAGGAAGAAGATAGAACAGGATGACTTGGAATTAAGGAGCATCATAAAGGTAGAAAGCCAGAACTGACATTTTGGGGCACCTTTAATCCGATAGCTGGCCTAACATTGAGGAACATAATGTATCTCTCATTTGTTATGAAGCATGGACAGGACATCTGTAAGGAAGCATGGCTTTTTGTTATTCCTGGAATCTGCCTACAGTCCTCAGTGCAGGGAGAGAGTTAACATGCCCCCCCTCTTAATCCAGAAGGAAAGTGGTGGTTAGCAGGGGAAGCAGAACCTAGAACTTGTGCCCAGAGGTCAAATTTAAGAATACTATTTATAATTGAAACAGCTCTTGGAGGAGCATCTTTTTATTTTTTTTAATTTATTTTTTGCAAATAAACTCTACCTCCAATATGGGGCTTGAACTTCAAGACCTCCAGATCAAGAGTCACATGCTCTACAGATTGAGCCAGCCAGGTGCCCCTGGAGGAGCTCCTTATAATCCTATTTATAGAAATGAGCTCAGCCTATCTTCTAGGTCCTGATGAGCTATTTTCAAAAAGTTGTAGGGAATAAAGAGTTTAGGGGGAAAAAAAAAACATTTACATTTAGTTTTGCTTTTTTTTTTAATGTTTATTTTTGAGAGAGCACAAGCGGGGGAGGGACAGAGGGAGAGGGAGACAGAATCCAAAACAGGCTCCAGGCTCTGAGATGTCAGCATAGAGCCCCACATGGGGCTCGAACCCAAGAACCATGAGATCATGATCTGAGCAAAGTCAGACACTTAACTGGCTGAGCCACCCAGGTGGTGCCCCATAACATTTAGTTTTATATGAACTCATGAATATTAGTGATGTTGAAACTGGTAGGTCAGATTCTGGGGAATATTTTCAAGCAGAAATAACATCAGCTGGACCCAAACTGTTGTTGAGAGGATTACCCTGCTCTCTGAAAGCAGAGTGTCTGCTGAGAGCCTACAGTGTGTAAACAGTAGTCTGTGATGTCTGTTATGGGGTAGATTAAGAAAGTAAGCTTTAAAGTACATTCAGAACCAGGCATCCAAACCCAGATAGGAGCTTTGCATTAGGAGAGACTCAGATGTACAGTTAGCAAGGATTTATTGAGCTTTTATGGTATTTTTCTATATGGCAGGATTCCTTGATTTTAGAGCATAAATGTAAAGACTAGCTGAAGACCACTTTTGTTTTCACTAATGAATTTGCTCCTGGTTTTTAGGGCTTAGTCTGATTTTAAAGTAGTGCAGACTATATTCAGAACAGTTGTCTAGGACTAAGATATTCAAGGGAGCTATTGAGATCCTTTTTGCAAGAGGAGTACTGATCCTTTAATCAATCATTAAAGCCAAGAAATGCACCAGGAAGCCTAGTGAAGCGGTCTAAGTTATCTGCACATTTTTGACGGAATGCTTACTTCTGCCTGTGTCCCAGCTAACTAACGTCCCTGCTGGAGCAAATGGTTTAGATGTGGGGAATCATAAAGAGAAGCAGTACAAGGGAGTCAGGTTTGTAAGTGAAAAGGAAAGATTGGCCTTATCAGATTCCTTTTCTTTATTTTTAGTCCTTGAGAACTTTACTCTAGGTTCTGTGGCTGCAGCTCTGGGTCCCGCACAGCAGGGCAGCACCGCTGCAGGGAACGCACGCGTGGCCACTTCCATGTTTCAGACAGACATCATTCTTCAGAAGTCACTTTAGGAAAACAGCCACTCCCTTCTGCAGAAAGGATGCAGCTTGTCAGGCATACTATAAATCGTACCCACTCTCCCTTTCTCTTCCAGCTCCAGGCCTGGTGGCGAGGCACAATGGTACGGAGGGAACTTGGTGGTTTCAAGATGCCTAAGGACAAAGATGACAGCAAGGATTCCAAAGGTAAAGGCAAAGACAAGGACAAGCGGAGAGGCAAGAAAAAGTGACATTCTCTTGCCTTTTCCTCTGGTATTCTGGAGATGGAAAGGCAGACCTGAAGGGAGGAGGAAACATTTTACCAGCACAGAGAACTCATCTACAGGTTATTTTCTTATTTGGACATTTCCAGGTGTTCCCTGGTGTTTTCATTTTGCCTGCTGTATTAGTTTGCAAACCCTGAATTAGGGGTACACCATCAACTTGGGGTTTCTTTTGAGGAACTTTTGGTGGGAAGTATTTCTAGGAGCCTTGTAAAGATTCTTCTTGCTCTTTCTTACTAGAAAAAGGTTCATGGGCTTAGTTATGGTGATGCATTAAAACTTCAGTAATTTCTGTAATTTCTGATTCTTATCATTTGTCGACAGTGAAAAATCTATGAGCAAAAGTGAAGTGTTCAGTCAGAATTCCAAAATGATGCTTATATAGTGTCTAGCATAATATAGACACAATGAAGTTCCCTAGGTTGGCTCCTTCCTGCCTTTTAGATTTGTTATCACTTTAGTGTTTTTGTTGGGGTGGCGGTGGCATGGAATATATATCTTACTGTAAGCTGCTTCAGCTCCTTTTCTGGGAGATAGGTAGGGATATCAATTATAAACTTAAAAAAATAATCCATTAGAATAAACAGATAAGAGATGTTAGGATGTACAGCCCACACCCAGTACAGGTGGGGACACAGGCCCCAGGGGAAGATGAGGTTGGAGAGATTTTTGATCAAGGAGACACCAGGGTCTACGTGTGCTTTGTTCCCTCAACAATTCTCACCCTGCAGGATATTAAGACTAAAACAGTAAAGATAATCCAAATAAAATGTCTTGGGATACTAGAGCTTTCCCTACAGCACAGTTGGTAATTTCTGAGTGAAAAGTGTCCAAATGTGTTACATGCATTGTTTCATGAATTAAACCTTAAATGTAATTCCAAATATAGGGCAATACTGATATCTGTATTTCCTTAAAGTAATTTAAAACACTGACCTCAAGGGGCTGTTATGAGGACCCAGTTTCTACTGATGTTCCTTCAGGGAATTAAATAACCTTTCATTTTTGCCAAGGAAATCATGCTTTAGGTATGAACATTTTCAAATCAGCCTTTATTTCACGCTACTGAAGTGTTGGCTTTTATTTTAATGTCAACGTGTAAGGTGGCATACAGGCAATTTAAAATAGCATACATGATATTGACATATTTATACTTAGAACTTATGCATTATATTTACAGACATACAAATATAGGACAATGTTTTACAAAATCTTTTACTAATTACATGTTTACAACATTTTCAGAAATAAAATGAAATCTGCTGTAAACCATCTCACTGCAACACTTCTATAAAAAGGGTTCTAAATATCCATGTTTTCCTTCATTTCTATAACCATTTTAAGCGCTTAGTTGTTAAAATTCATCATACTCATCAGCACAGTCACACATTAGTCACTGCTGAGCTGTAGAAAGTAAGAGAAATCAGACTCCTCAATTAGCTGTAAGGCTGTGTTTTAAAAACCTATTAAAGAAAGTGACCTGCTAAGAAGCCCCCCCATCTCTGTTCTAGCCAAATACAAAGGCCCCCGCCCATGAGCTGTCTCCAGAGAACCAGCTGACTTACAGTCTCCGTAGCTGGCAGGGGCCCTGGTGGGTGGGCACCTAGCCTTTTCGCCGTTCACACTTCAGCACGGGGCCGATCACTGCTTCAGTAGGAAGCTCATAAATGGTCAGGTAGAATCGCTACAACATCGTCTTCATCCTACACTGCAGTCTAGCAAGGCTAAATGTGAAATTTTCTTTCCATTTTTTAAAAAATACATACAAAACACTGAACACAAAAATTTTCCAACCAAAACATCATCAATGTTTTTGCATCTAGACAAAGAAAAACGTTCAATGTGCTTGATATTTTTCTTTCATTATCAAGCAAAACTGTATACAACTTTTTTCTAGCAATTCAAATATAAATTTGAATTAGTTTGATAAAAATATTAGGTTTCACATTATGTGTGAAATATGAATTAAGTGGAAATTTCCGTTTATTCCTATGGGATAATTAGTTGCAAATGTCCCAAATGTTGTATTATATATGTCTTCTGGGGTTATTCCTTGCATGGTATAAAACAGTCCTGTTCTTTGCTGAGTTTCAAATGACTATTATTTAGAGATTGTACTGAGATTTAATGTTGATGAGAAGGGGAAGAAATACCCATAGTTTAAAAATGCACACAAATTCTAAACAAGTTTTTCCAAACAGACCGCTCAATTTGAACTGTAACTATAATGGAGTCTGGCTCTAAACACTTAAAAGACATATTGCTTTTGTTCTGTAAGGACAGTGAAGGACTGGGTTTTGAGCTCAGAGGTTTAATTTTAAACTCGGACAAATTGGTAATGTTCTGCTGAATTTGTTTCCCTGTGAGAACGGGGGAAAAACGTTATTTTGACCAGATACTCCACATGATTTTACCCAGTTACTTTTAGATCCTGCATTCATATGATAGAACACACTTTGCTCAAATGCATGCATTGGTAAAGAAAATTCAGAACAATTCACCCTGGATAACTAGTATCTTCACTTAGTCTATTTACCTGGTTTATAAAGGCAGTGCATACCAAAAGATATGCTGACATCTAAAAGGGGTTCAAAATACAGGGTAAGAAAGAATCTAGTGGCTTAAACTTGAACAAAGGCTCCCGGCTTTGTGTTACATGAGCCCCTGGGCCCTTTTACTTGGTCCATGATTGAGTGAAGAAGGCACTAGTGGTAGAGTTAGATGACCTAGATACACAGTACGCTGTTTTAAGATGCCACAGTGGTTTGATTCAGGTACGGAAACTGGCTATTACCTGAAAAGAAATTAGGAAACTTGGCTTTTCCTTTATTTCTTGGACTTTGTTTTTCCTAATCTTCCATTAATCAGGGAGCTGGAAGTGTATTCTGCTGTGAGTGGAAGGTATGTGCAGACCCAGGTGTCCCGGGAGCAGCGTTGGGGGGAGTAGAAGGGAGGGCTCAATGCAAATGGTGAGTAGTGCATGTTACCAACCTAAGGATATAGAATCTGTGTGGAGAGTGTTTGTTTATAATGTGTAGATAATAGCAGGATGTCACGCAGAAGCAAGCTTTAACTGGTGGTGGCCAGCCTGCGTTTGGGGTGGGGTGGGGGGGGGTGGGCTTCAACTCTGGCCTTATATAGAACTTACCTCTCTCAAAAGGTTTTACTACACAAAAATCTAGGCCTTCTACATTATATGTGTTTTGCCTGGACATAAGTATTGTCCAAAAACCCCAATTCTGTTATTTTTGTTTTGCCTTTCACATACAGTCTAAATAATCATAATATAGCTTTTGATTTTAAATGTGGCTGAGAGTGGAGTCATTATTCCCCATATCATACAAACACCTAGCCTTGAGACTGTGGTCTCTACCCCATCTGTTGAAAATGCAGATACCCAGGCCTCGCTTTAGACTGACCAAATGAGACTCTGCATTTTAACAAATGGTCCAGGAGATTCTAATGAACAACCAGTTTGGGAAACCAGAGGACTCCAGAAACTGGAAACAGGTAGAGGTTATAGCAGGTCTGTGCTTTCAGGAGAGCTAAATAGTCTTCTGAGGAGATTTCTCTCTGGTATGTGAAACAAGCCTACTCTCTAGGAAAGCACAGCCAGTTTAGTCTTCAGTGTTGGGTTCTCAGTAATGACAGAATTAAGTTTCATTTGTGAAAACCAACCGTGTCTTCCTAAACAGTTCAATGGAAACGAATATAACCTCCCCTAAAATGGAGGAATGAAGCAAAATATTCCTGTTAGGAATCATGGAAACAGTCCCTTTTAAGAACACTTAAGAGCTCTGTTTAAGCAGATGGATGGCAGCAGCAATCGCGTCCTGCTCCGGTTTGGCCAGGCCAGTGCCCAGGTGCTGGGGGTCCTTACACAGCAGACGATGGGTGCTGCTGCTTGGGGGGGGCAAGTGCCAGGAGAGCCTGGACCGTCACCGCAACCTGGCTCAAACCTTTCTCTTCTAAAATGTGGAGAGGCAAACATAATTGCTCCTGAAATGGGACGACGTAACATAAAAACAAACAAAAGAGAAAACAGGATGAACATCAACAAACTAAAAAGAAAAAATAAGCACCTCTTCTCTCCCTCATAACAGTCCTGAGATATGAAGAATCAGTACCTGGGGAACTGGCCTCTGTTAACAGGAGTTACACAGAGATGGTACCTTGACCACCGCCACTTTATTGAAACAACTAGAAGTACAAATGGGCCATTCTGAAAACTGGAATGAGGCCCAGTTACATACACTTCTACATACAACAGAGGATAACAGAATACTCTGGAGTAAATGCAACACCCTTCATCATCGATACATAAAAGAGCAATGCAGATCAGTAAAATGACGCAGGGAAAATGGAAAAGCAATTCCAAGTTAGCAGATGGCTCAAGCCTGACAGACAGGACATTGGGGGAGAGAATGTGCTGGAAATCACACACCATGGGAAGGCAAGATGGTTTCCGGCCAGAAGCCAGACTGCCTGCGGGAAGGATGCCCACCAGTTACAGAATAAATGGGAGTATTTCATATCCTTGCATTTAATGGATTAAATTATGCTGGAGAGCTATGATGTGAGTTTAGTCAGGAATACCTTAATCATCATATATTTGAAAAGTATACGTTTGCTTAAGGAAGTTAACATGTACGGGGTTTGCCTCATTAATGTCTGGTTAAGCCTTGAGAAAGAAAAAGGCAGAGTTTAAGGATAACACCTGCCATTGGTGTTTCTTTTAAGATTAAATATTCAGAAAAACAGACACTGCTCTCAGAAAGGACAGAAAGAATTCTGGTCCCACTAAAAAGGAGACTACATACACTTATTAAAAAAGATAACTGGACTTTTCAATGGCACTTACTGTATTATTAGGAAGTTTTACAAAATTAGTTGCAATAAAAATATAACATTTATTTTGAACAGTTATTGGTACTTGTGCTTCTTAAAACTTTAATACTTATCTTGATAAAACAAGGTAACTGCAATCTTTTGACCTTATAAAACTAGTAACTCAGTATAAATACTTTGCGTACCACTGCCAATACAGATGAACTATTCTAAAATGAACGTGCAGGGTGTTTTGCTCTTGGGGAAGCATATTTTCTCCGAGGCCAATTCCCTTGTCCCGCCTCCATAGTGCCCCACACCGCGTGTGGTTTAGACATTCCCTCAGAGCCTTATACTTTCCAGATGCACATTTACCTGCCAGCGGCTTGGAGGGAACGCCGTGTGCTCTGAAGAGAATGTACAGCTACTCCCCCCAAGCCACACACAAGACCACGTGTTGTATCTTCTAAAGGGACAAAACTCCACAAAACCAAATGGTCTTTGACTCTGAGACATCTTAAAAACAGAACAAAGCAAACCTTCCAAACTCTGGAAGGCCCTACTACTGTATAAAACTGGTTTCCAACACAGTTTCAAACATCAGGTCAATGTTTCAGCATTAACTGCACACAGTTTTTTAATGTGTTAAAGAATGGTCCCACCTAACATGGAAGAAAGCCAAAACAATCGCACCCTCAGGCTGACTTCTACAACAAGGTGTTCTGTTCCCTGCAATTCCCCTTCATATTTTAGTTCAGCAGATTCCTGAATGTTCAGAAACCCTATTTATGAGAACTAGAATCTGAATGCATCCATGAAGTCGTTTCAAGCACCAGGGCCAGCAGCTCACATACTTAGAACATCGTGAAGATGACAATACTCCCTGCCTTGGGTACAGAACAGAGACCGCTGCCTGATACTTTACCTGCTCCTACTGTTCACATACAAGCTCCTGAACAGCCTAATTCAATACAAGTGCACCTAATAAGATGATTCAAGTATACTGAAATTACATAAATTCCAATTTTAAATTATAAATAGGGTTTTAGAGGTGAAAATCAGTTCATTGATAACAAACAGTAAGTATGGACAGGTGCCTATTCCTGGAAGGTCAGCTCCAGACCATCTGCTTGTTGTGGACTATTTTAAAAGTACACACTGGGCTCAGAATAGCGATCTAAGGAACCTACCTGAGTTTTGGACTGAACATTCAGATCAAATTAAAATTATTAAGACCAAATGGCCAGTGCTTCCAGATGTGTAGACAGCAAATGCTTACGTGGACCCGTGCCTCACAATACAGGGAGATCCCAGGATTTCAGGGCACAGCTCAATGCAGAGATCTTAGTGACCAGCTGCCTCCTCAGCTGGAAAGGGTACAACTATATTCTTTATGAGCAGTTGTTGAAAATGGCAGAAAAACGGCCACATGGGAATTTCATTATGTCATATCATATTCTAAGTCTTATTCTAAGAATAGGTGCAGGATTGTATCAGAGGCACCTCGGCACCTGAGATAAGAGGAAAAAGCCCATAGGCCAGGAGAATGGACAAATGACCATGAGAAAAATGCTGGTCTTTTGCTGTTAGCAATCATCATCAATGCTTACTAATGTGATGGGCTGTTCATCTGGACATATGGGGGACAGGATTTATCTGCTTTATTGGTTAGCTCTTTGATAGCCAGGAAAAAAAAAAAAAAAAAAGCACATAGGTAAATACTTTGTAGCAAGAAACAAACCTCCTTTACCAAGCACAGGAATGAGGTGGAAAATCACTGGAGTGCAATCGTTCAGCTAGAGGGGGAAGATCCCGTAATAAAGCAGACAGAGAGTTAACATTAAAGTACAATAAAATGCCACAAAACCCAAAAGCTGGATAGACAGAGAGACAAAACTGGATTCTTCTGAATGTGCCCCAAGAGAAAGTAGTGTTTCAACAGTTCTTTTAACGCTGAGGTTTAGCTGAAGGATGTCAGAAGGGGAACAAAGATTGTCCTGTCCAAAGTGTGAGCAGGAAAGGAAAACAGAAAAACAAAGTCAGTGGATCAGAAATACAGATTTCAGTATAGAATTTAATATGATCATCTCAGTCATACTCACAGAAACACATCCTAGTAACATTTTTTTTATTATGAATAAAAATAAAATGCTAAAAAAAACAAAACCACAAAGACTCCTCTTTGTGCTGAGCTTGCTTCCACTCCTAAACAGCAGAATAAAATGGACTTGTTGGTGACCAGTACAAACACTCAGGAAATTGAACAGAACTGGGTGACGGCTCAGGGTTATCAGGCCTACAAGTGGTGACGTCTGTGCCAGGCAACCTCTTTCCAGACTCATTCTTCCCTATTGACAAAAAAAAAGAATGGGCCAGAAAGCAGGACCAAACCTGCATGTAGGCTGAGGAGAGGGAAGTGTGTTCAGAGAAAGCCAGGTAAATCAAGGAGGGTTGAAGAATGAGGAGAGCCTAATAATTGGGGAAACTTACTACCTGGAAGCCAGGTGTACTGACTGATTCGGTACTCCTCTCAAAATCACGTCAGTATTCCTTCCATCTTCACCAAGTCCAAGTTACTAATATGTACAAAATGAATCAAGAGTGGGAAGGGGCCAGACCCTCCAGCTCATAGATGAAGAAATCAGGTAAGTAAATAAAAACACAATTGGGACTGGAGAACAGGAAAATATTCTTTAACACATAACATACAGTAATTCTAGGACATAAGATACTGGACTCAAACAGACATTTTTATCGCCCATTATAGTTTTCTGAAGATAACATACTTAATAAAAGTATAATGAAGAGAATACCCACATGCCCAGCCTCAACAGAGGTTTTCAAGAGTCACCTTATTCTTTAGTGTTTCATTCAGAACTCATAAACCCTTCAAAAGTTACACTGAGAAGGGAAACTGTTCACCTTGATACATATTCTCTGGACATAAAATCTGACCCCTGTTTGCAATATTAAGTTTTATGTTATACATTTTTAAAAGTGGCATTATATTACAAGTCAAACAGAAGTAGGGGTATTTAGGTAAAGATCAGAAAGCCTAGACATAGGGGAAAACATAGTGGAGAGGAGGAGGTTTCCTCCTGGGGCAGAGGGACCTGAGAAGGTTAATTTGAACCTATGAGTTTATGTATGTATTCATTTTCCTTCACTTTGTTCTAGGCAAATGACTAACTTTTTAGCAGAAGTGGCATCATAACAGGAACCTGTCTCAAAGTGGTAGTGGTGGTGGTAGACACTCGGGTAGAAGGCAGAAAGGGAGAGGAAGAGGTGGCCTTTGGGATTGTCCACTTCTTCTTTCGGGTGGGAGAGACCGAGAGGGAGGAAGGATGTGTCCGGAACCTCAATCTAACCACTCTGGAAAAATACCTAGTCTTTTAAACATGTATTTTTGTCTCCTGCCTTCAAACAGGACAGCACTGGTAGGGACAGGCTGGCCCACGATAAATATTGTTACCCACTGGTTGGCAAGTGCTGAATTAAATGCACATTTTAAGGCAGACTGTATTTTGCTAACTGTTGGCAATACATTCTGGAAGAATTTTAGTGTATGAACTTTAAATCTGAGACACAGGTCATTCTCTAAAGCCCAGAGTATAGGAACAATGAGTGTAAAGCTGGTAAACAGCACTTGCAGCAGGTCTGATGTAGGCCAAGTCTGCAAATATGTCTTGCTATTTGGGGATGTTTCTAGCGCTCTTCTCTTTGGGTATGTAGTGCCTCTTTTTCGTTACTCTTCTCCTGTCTCTGGTTCCCATTCCCTGCACTAACCCACGCCGCATTCTTTGTTCCAAGACCTGTGCTGTGGCGTCGGGGCAGGTCCCGGGCATGCCTGTGTAGTGTGGTGATCAGGCAGAAGCGTCTTCAACAGGCAGAAGGTGGCACTGACCGTTAGTGTGCTTATACAAATATTAGAACCTGCTTATTAATATGAAGAAAATGCATGCTATTTGCTTAGAAACCCTACTGATGCTCTGTTACTATGTTTAAAAATGGCTTGTTCTAAAAGAGATGATGAGTCTTTAGAAAACAATATGATGTAAAAATGAAAAATCTGCTTTCATTTGACATAGGAACAAAATAAGGTCCTTGCTAACTACCAAAAATGTAAATTTTAGTTCTTTTTAGAACTCAGATTTTAAAAAAAGCCACAAAAGAAAACAGTGAAAAATAACTAGTGAATTCCAGTCTACTTAATCAAAGGGGAAAAACCATCATGGGAACGGACTCCAGCCAACGCAGATGCTCTACGGCGCTAGCCTCTTTCTCTTCCCCTCTGCAACACATACAGGAGCTGAGGGAGAAGGCCGCCCACTGGACAAGTGGTGCTGTGGCTGCCTCAACTCAAGGTGACTAAGAGTGGAATGGGGGTCAGGTGAAGAGAGAGTCACTGTTGTGACAGCTGTTAGGACAGAGGGCTTAAGTTCTAGAGAAACACAGGAGTTGACTCGAGAGCCAACCCTGGGGCTCTGACCGCTAATTAAGAAAGTGATAGAAAAGAGTCATGATTTTCTTCTTGAAGGTTGGACACCAGATATGATGACAGGAACTTCAAGGGTGATGGTTAATGGGAAAAAAAAAAAAAAAATCAAACAGTACCAAGCTGGTTATTTCTTTAAATGTATGTAGGTCTCATGTCATTAAGTATAGTAGTTTCTAAGAGTACCATGCTTAGTTGGTCTAACATAATTGTTTTTAAAAGGGTAACTGAATAAAAAAATGTATGACGTTCATGTCTCTTAATTTACATCTTAATTAAAATCTGTAGAGTTTACCTATTTGTACCACTAAAGGGCTGTCGCTGAGGAACCTGGAGACCGTAAATCTCAAGAGCAGGACAAATGCCTAGAAATAGCCTCTTGTGTGCTACATTCCAAAGTATTAAAGCTTAGTGGAAAAACCAGTGAAAACAGAACCAGGCCTGTTAACAGCACTGTCTCAGTGTTTGTTAGTCTGGATGACCCACAATGTTTATATAGATGTTAACAGTACAGGTGAAGTGTACACAGTAACTCTCTGTGCTATTTTTGCAACATTTTTCTAAGTCTAAAATTATTTCAAAATAAACATTTTAAAAAAGTATTCAAGTAAGTGTTAAAAACCTGAAACCAACTGAAGCCTTCTCAGTCTGAGATGCACTCACTCTGAAGTATAGACTCTTATGGGCAAAGATGTATACAAGTCCAACAGCAAGTAGGAGTGTTTAGGAAAACAGCAGAGTATCGATTTTGATTACTTAACATGACTTATTACCATAAATTTAAATTTCTATGTGTATTATTTTTTTGCTTGGTCCTTGAAAATAATTAAGGAAAACTGCTCAGAAGCAGACTGACTGACTCTAGTAACACAAAATCTCGTCAGCAGTCATCAACTTGGTTCAGGGCTAGTCCTCTAAGATTTTAGATCCTGACATTTCTGAAAACTTTTAGAAAAATAATACTGAAGTCTGAGATGGGGAACTGGCAGCATCATCTAGGCAACATAAAAAATGATAAATTTATTACCTGAGGTACACCAATTTTTCTGCAAGCTTCTAGGAAATTCTCCACATTCCGCCTGCATTTTGCCATTGTTAATTTAGGCTACAAAGGAAGGAAAATGTGGTGTTACTACTGAAGTTTTCAAGATTTATTATTTTAAAAATCCTCTTGTCACAATTCCTTTGTCAATTCAGCACTCTGGTCCATAAGGTCAACAAATTTCCTTAAAGGATCAGATAATAAAGCTGTTAGTCTTTATGGCCATACGATCTGGTAAGAGCTTGAAAACAACCGTAGACAAGCAAATAGGTGTTCCAGTAAAACTTCATTTACAAAAAGAGGTGTTGGGCTTGGACCACAGTTGGCTACTCTGTACTTTAGACATTTTACTTTGAGTTTTGTAAGGCAAGTGCTAAATACAGAGAAATTTTAGGGGGATAGTTTAAATTTTTTTTCCATTTTAAAATAATACACAGTAAAGAAAATGTGTAGGAATAAGAAGGAAATTACCCACAACCTCAACATTCAAATACAATCACAGTCAACATTTTGGTTCATTTTCTTGCAGTCTTTATAAAATAAGATAATCTTATTAAAAATATAGATTTTTTATGTTTCTTTGGGGGGGGGGCGGGCAGAGAGAGAGAGGGAGACACAGAATCTGAAGTAGGCTCCAGGCTCTGAGCTGTCAGCACAGAGCCTGACGTGGGGCTTGAACCCATGAGCCGTGAGATCATGACCTGAGCCAAAGTTGGACGCTTAACAGACTGAGCCACTCAGGTGTCCCTAAAAGAAGAATTTTAAAGAATCAACAGCTTTTGCTCATAAATATGTTATTGATGCAGCATGTCTCTATTCAATATCAAATTCACCTGAAATTTTTAAAACATTTGTATTTCATTATTTCTTAAAATTTTATTTATTCTGAAAGAGAGAATACAAATAGGAGAGGGGCAGAGAGGGAATCCTGAGGGAGACAGAGAGAGAGAGAGAGAGAGAGAAAGAGAAAAAGAGAGAGAGAAATCCTAAGGAGGCTCAGCAATATAGAGTCCGATGAGGAGCTTGAACTCCTGAACTGTGAGACCATGACCTGAGCCAAAATCAAGAGTCAGACACTTAACCGACTGAGCCACCCAGGTGCCCCAAACATTTCTATTTTAAAAGATTGTATTAAAGAACCTGTTTCCTGAAGGATGAACATTTCCCAGAGGAGATTTCCCTAATTTCTAATTAGTAAGCTTGTTTTTCTGAACAGACCTCTTAATGACTAAAAACAGAGTTGTATCACATGACCTAAAATTGTGAAAAAGTTTTTCACCTAAAGGTTATAATGTAAGAAAGAGATATGAATTCCATTTCCTGGGAAGATTAACAAACTCAAGTGTTCGAATTTGTTGACTCGTTTCCCATGTCTGCACATCAGGCATGGAAGCCAAATGTCTATACAAGCTCTGCCTTTACTGAGTTTTCACATAGCTAAGCAGATGGAAGCTTTAACCATCTCTAGGACACAAAGCTTTTCTGGAAGGTTACCTGGATTTTCTTCGAAGATGGAATATGATACTATATCATGAAAAGAGGAAATATGATAAATACATTAATAGTGTTTGAAGGAAGTATTATAAACTAAATCTGTCAGAGGTAGCAAGGGCTAGTATTGGCTTTATTATAAAATATGTGGGATGAAAGGAAAATAATTTTTTTTAAATATTTTATTTTTTTAAGTAATCTCTATGTAGACCCAATGTGGAGGTCTGAATTCACAACCCCGAGATCAAGAGTCATAAGCTCTACCAACCTGACCCAGCCAGGCACCTCAATAATAATTTTTAATTTTCAAATAAAAAAACTTACAAAAAGGTCCAAAAGGACGACAGGCATTAGGTTTCTAGGAAAGCACCCATTCTTTCCTATGCCAAGTTCTTCTATCATTGAAGTAAAAAAGTTTGTTTTTTTGGGGGGTGTCTGGATGGCTCAGTCAGTTAAGTGTCAGACTTTGGGTCAGGTCATGATCTCACATCATGAGTTCAAGCCTGCGTCAGGCTCTGTGCTGACAGCTCAGAGCCTGGAGTATGCCTCAGATTCTGTGTGTCTCTCTCTCTGCCCCTCCCCTACTTGCAGTCTGTCTCTCTCAAAAATCAACAAACATTAAAAAAAATTAAAAAAATTTTTTGAAGAGTGAAACAAATGGTAGAATCAGGATCTACTTAACAGAAGGAGGAAAACAGCAATGGGGGTTCATATTGGCTAATTTACACTGGGCCTGGGCTCCTTCATTCTCTTCTACTTTTTACATGGGTAAGAGCAGGGTGTTCACTGCACAAGTGATGACGTGGTCTTCTCAACTCCTGGCTAAAGAGGGAGGTAAGGTGAACTGAGGCACAAGGAAAAGTCACTGTGGTGAAACTATCACAACAAGGGCTTAACTTTAAGGGAAGTTGGGCAAATAAAGAAAATACAAGACAACTGCTTTGCACTTTGGAGAATTTTTCGTTGGCTAGAAATTCTCTTTCCCTATACCAGCTTCCCTGTCTGCCTGTAAAAATGGAAGTAGAAACAATGTAATTAGCTTTATTACCAAGGGACATTAGCTAAGCAAATAAGGATCTTGATCTGAGTCTGGGAGAGAAGGCTGGGGGTGTGTTCACAGGGCCCCATGAACTCTACAAAAGAAAAGAATTGGGCATTTCATTCTATATAAGAAGGACCCCCTACATTTCTGAAACTCCACCATTCAGATGCCAATATCTATGGAGTGGAGAGTGAAGTAGGTCTGACTGCATAGGTAGAAAAACAACTTGGTTTCTATGCAAAAGAAAGGCTAAAAGGATGGAGATCATGTCGCCAAGTTAAAACTGGTTCAAGAATCACCACCATCTCAGAAAAAAGGAAAACAAAAGGCTCAGTCAGAATAGTGATCACGGAGACTAACTCAACATTATCTCCATGAAGGCTACTAGCATCTTAAGACATAGAAGATGTCTGTGTTTGTGGGGATGGGGGAGAGGGAGAGAGGGATGGGAAGTAGAAAACTTCCTTTGAGACTCCCCCTGTAGAGAGCAGCGTTCTGACTGATGAAGGTGTAGAGGAATGAGGAACAATCAATAAGCTCTCTGCCCAGTCATTTCTTCCTTTAGCATTATCTCAATTCCAGGGATGTAGGTCAATGTTTCAAAATTGGGATCAAACTCCTCACAGTCTGATGAAAGTTGTGAATCTATCCTTGAGAAGAATACACATGCATGCAAATTAGGGAGCTCATGAAGCCCTAAAAGTGCTTGATCCCAGGCTATATACAAATCCCTGCCTCTATGTGTCCAACAGAATGGCTAGTCAAAAGGACTCCTGAGGTAGATTCCCTATCATTCGAGTGCAGAAGGACTTATGATTTTGCCTTAAGTCAAATCTCAGAGAACCTACTATTCCCAAAAGCTTTGCTAGAATTTGGATGACATAACATACGGGTTGAGGTAGCTGTGCACAACCTGTTCTAATTCTTTAATGAACAACCTGATCTGAATAGAAATATTATATAAGTTTTGCAGAAGGTAATTTCAACAAGAGTATGTCCTATACCTAAAGAAATAAGGAATAAACAACTTCACCACTCTGAAATTTGAAATGATTCAGAATTTTTAAAGGTTATCTACCTTGGTGACATGGTTCTTTGGTGATATGAGTTGTCATATTACATTATTTGTAATCATTTTTGATACAATTTGCTAGTGCACTTCTAAGAATGTAAACTGTACCCGTAACACCTCTGCCTATTAAACAACCAAACAGCAGTTTATCAAACATCACTGATCTCCAAAAATAACAACGGAAGATGAATTATAACTTAATGCTTAGAAACACACATGCTTTTCTGGCTTTCTTTTGAAATGTGTGGATAACCTACGGCTATGCCACCCTGAACGTGCCTGATCTAGCCTGAAATGCTTGGACTTAAGACTTCCCCTTACATTAAGGGGTCATTTTTTGAATTGGGTGAAAGAAATCACAGTTCTTACAATACATCAAGAAAGTGTTTTTAAGTAATACACTTGGGGAGTTGTAATTAGCCAGTTCTCAAAAAATTACAATAAATCACTGTGTTTTAATTAATGTAGCCATAAAGAAATTGCTATGGTTTTTCATTTATATATGGCTTTAATTTTATATTCTTTAATTTTATATTCTCACAAAAAAACTTCTACTAAGAAAGTAAGTTACAAAGCTCTCTGTATGGTCAGAAGAACAAATTAAGGGAAGCGACAGTCTAATATGAAGGCGAATAATCCATAGAAAAGAAAAACAGACATAAATATTTATACTGAAATCTAGTACTATAACAGAAACCCCATTAACACAATACTGACTTATTCATAAAATCATTATCACAATTTCAAAGTAGGGATTTTTGGTGGTGTTGGGTTTTTTGCTTTTAATTAAAACACTGGACAATTTTCAACTGTTTGGCTCATTTTTTTACCCCCAAATGTTATAGTTTGGGAAGTTTTAACATTTACATGTTTTTCTTTGTTTTAATGTTTATTTATTTATTTTGAGATAGCAAGCAAGAGAGTGAGAAGGGGAAGGCAGAGAGAGAGAGGGACAGAGAGAACCCCAAACTGCGCTGTCAGTACAGAGCCCAAGGCAGGGCTTGATCTCACAAACTGTGAGATCATGTCCTGAACCTAATCAGGAGTCAAGTGTATAACTGACTGAGCTACCCAGGTGTCCTAAGAAGACCTCTTTTGATTTTTTTAAAAAACATTTATTTATTTTGAAAGACAGAGAGCACACACAGAGGTGCAGAGACAGAGAGAAAATTTCAAGCAGGCTCCATGCTGTCAGCCTAGAGCCCAACTTGGGGCTCAATCCCACCCAACCATGATATCATGACCTGAGCCGAAAGCAAGAGTAAGACGCTTAATTGACTGCCATGCAGGTACCACTGATTTTGTTTTTTTAAAGAGGAATTAATGTTCTTGAGAAATCGGACCACTTAAAACTCCCCTCCGTACCTTTTGTTCTCACACTTGATATGTACTCGATGCAGAGTTGTTGATTTCACTAGCAAGTTTTAAACGCTCTCATCTTACGTTATACCCATATTTCTTCGACTATAAGAAGGTCCATGTGTTTCATTTCTTTAGGCAGTTAAGTATTTGTAAAAGAGTTTTATTTTTTCTATATGTATTTTACACTCTTACATGAAAGGCACTGTGCTCTGGTAATCAAGGTAAAGAACCTCAGTCACCCTTATTCTTAAACTCCCCTTTCTGCATTAGCTGCTTGCTACTTCCTACGTATCTCCCCTGGAAATGAAAAATGACAGATTTGTCCTTTTTTTTTTTTTTTAAATGTTTTTATTTTATTTTATTTCTAGGAGAGAGAGAGAGAGAGAGAGCGTGAGCAGGGGAGGGTCAGAGAGAGAGGGAGTCACAGACTGAAACAGGCTCCAGGCTCCGAGCTGGCAGTCAGCCCAGAGCCCGACGCGGGGCTCGAACCCACGAACCGCGAGATCGTGACCTAAGCGAAAGTCGGACGCTTAACCGACTAAGCCACCCGGGCGCCCCAGATTTGTCCTTTTTAAAAATTATTCTTAAGGGGCGCCCGGGTGGCTTAGTCGGTTAAGCGTCCGACTTTCGCTTAGGTCACGATCTCGCTGTTCGTGGGTTCGAGCCCCGCGTCGGGCTCTGGGCTGACTGCCAGCTCGGAGCCTGGAGCCTGTTTCAGTCTGTGACTCCCTCTCTCTCTGACCCTCCCCTGCTCACGCTCTCTCTCTCTCTCTCCTAGAAATAAAATAAAATAAAAACATTAAAAAAAAAAAATTATTCTTAAAACAATTTTTCCCCTTAATCTGGCTGACAGAAACTGGGAAGAATGCAAAGCATGAATAAATCCTTTCCTTACTGGTGTTGCCAAACAGTTCATCAATTCCTATTCTCTTACTCACCACCTTTAGGACCAAAACCATGTCTTTCAAGTCTCTGAGAGCACAGCGGACTTTGGTAGTGCTGTTCCTCTCTGCCTTTCCTGCACAAAACTGAAGGCCTGTTTTCAGAGGTCACTAAGTAAAACTGGCTGCCAATTTTCCCTAGAAGTAAATGCAACATGCTTATCTGTGGATGTGCTAGAGGGGATAAGTACACATCATTATCCTTGGGACTTGGTAACAAAGCAGCTTTTATAATTAGAAGAATACAAAGTCCTTGAGAGGGATAAATGATTTGTATCTGGAGAGGCAGCAAGTTGAATGTCCCAAAGTGGCCATCTATAGGCCCAGATACAACTGCAATTTGAGTAAAGAATCTGTAAAAGGAAGTATCTACTAAATAATAACAAATGACCAGAAAATGAGATGGAGTCAAGATTTTTGAAAGGTTAGACGATATTAAGCATGTTACAAATGGACGGTATCCAGGGCGCCTGGGTGGCTCAGTCAGTTAAGCATTCAACTCTTGATTTTGGCTCAGGTCATGCTCTCACGGTTTGTGAGATCGAGCCCCGTGTCAGGCATTGTATCCTTCCCCTGCTTGCACATGCACACTCGGTCTCTCGCTCTCTCTCAAAATTAATAAACTTAAAAAAAAAAAAAAAAAAGAAGAAGAAGAACAGTATCCATTTAGAATCATCAAAAGAGGGTATCACAACAATAACTATTAAATGCAGTGGGAACCTTCATTATATCCTGGCTTTGTGTGTGTGCACGCACTGTGTGCAGGGAAAGGAAAGAGCACAGGTATGAAAGATAGTTTTGGAACAACCAGGGAAATGTGCCTCTAGATTATGGATGCTGTTGGTGCTTCCCCCAGTGACACATCAGCTAGCCTGTGCTTCCATCCTCACCTTCTACCCCTAGTCTGGGCTGGCTGCTAGTGTCCTATTATATCCCCTTCTTGGTTTCAGCCTGATCACACAGAACCACCAGAGTGTGAATCACACCTCCTCCCATCTTGAGGCAGCGGGGCTCAGCCCCCATGTGAGTCATTGCCTAGAGGCTGTAGAGAAGAGCAAGGTGGCCTAGGACAATTCTCTGAAATATTGAGAGAGTAAAGTTTCATAATATCTGCAACTAAATAGTTACAATTAAAACACAAATACACACCCACATACACACAAATATAGGCAAAGCAACACCATAAAATGAAATAAGTGTCAGGTCTAGGCTTTAAGAGTGTTCTTGTAGAGACGCCTGGGTGGCTCAGTCAGTTGAACATCCGACTTCGGCTTAGATCTTGAGTTCACAGTTCGTGAGTTCAAGCCCCATGTCGGGCTCTGTGCTGACAGCTCAGAGCCTGGAGCCTTCTTCAGATTCTGTGTCCCCCCCTCTCTGTGTCCTTCCTCTTTTCACACTCTCTCTCTCCTCAAAAATAAATAAAACATTAAAAAAAAGAATGTTCCTTGTATTATTCTTCCAACTTTTCTGAAAGTTTGAAATTTTTATAATGAAAATTTGAAAGGGAAAAAACTTGTTCTTTCTTCTGTGGGCTGCCATCCTGACACTGACTTCTGTATCTGACCAGCAGTTGAAAGAAAACCTGCCAGTCATCCTGAATGCATCCTCGTTTTCCACTCATCGTTGGTCACTAGATCATGTGAGTTCCACTCCCAAAACAGATTCCTCATTCTAAACTACAATTATAATCATATTTTCCCCCTCAGATTCTTTGTTTCTTCATTGTCTACACTAAGATAAACCTCTAAAACTGACACAGCACATAACACCACTGTCACATGGCCTTTGGCTTACCTCTTCAGCTACATCTCCCACCATTTATACCTACAACTTTGTGCATCATCATCCTAAGCAACTTATGAGTTCCTTGAATATACCATGATCCGCTCCATCTTTTGAATCTAGCTAGGCATATTATGACCAGAATGCTTTCTCTCCTGTTATGCTGGCAAATTTCTTTTTTTTTTTTAAATAATCATTTCAGTCACTGTTTTTTTAAAAGCAATATCTATGTGCAATGGAGCTTGAACTCATGATCCGCAGATCAAGAGTTGCATGCTCTACTGACAGAGCCAGGCAGGCGCCCCTATGCTGGCAAATTCCTACTTATACTCTATTGTTCAAATTTTACCTCCTTTGGGCAGACTTTCCTGAACTCTTCAGGCAGAGTTAAGTGGTCCCTTTTTGTATTCCTACAGCAACCTCTTATATACCTCTCTTGTAATGTTTATTACAGTTATGAATCATTGTTTACATGCCCATTTTTTCACTCATAGGAAGGAGACCCAGGAAGGCAAGGACTGGACTACTCATATTTGTATCCCTAGCATTCTACATAATACCTGCCATTGTACATAATATAGGTCTCATGAATAGCCAGTGCTTTTTAGTATTATGTACTTACTACAGCTGGCGAGGGGACATGGATGCTTGGGACAGAGCGAGGCCGCACATGATTGGCCAAATGGCAAAGAACAACACCATCGGTTAGAGCTGCTCCCAGATCACAAGGCAGTGATACTTTCAGCCGGTACTCAATATGCTAAAAGAACAGGAAAATGTGTAATACGTTAACTGAAGTGGCTGACACAGGACATAATGAAGTCACAACAAAATACTATATTTAATTAAGAATCAAGATAAAAAGCAAATAACTTAAGTACCACAATCCCTATTTTATTTATTTATGTTATGAGAGCAGGGGAGGGGCAAACAGAGAGGGAGAGAGAGAATCTTAAGCAAGCTCCATGCTAAGCACGGAGCCTGATGTGGGGCTTGACCTCAAAACTGTGAGATCGCAACCTGAGCCAAAATCAACAGTCAGACACTTAACTAAGCCACCCAGGCACCCCAAGTACCACAATCCCTATTTTATCCTTCCATTGTAAGTCAGTAACTCAAGGAGATCTAATACATACACATGGCAGCCAGGCCACAGTGGTACAAAATACTACATGAGAAATTCATTTACAATTTTAGGGTTAAAAATAAAACACAACTAGATTCTCTTTCAGTTCCAAAATAAAACACTATATGTGATATGTATATGTGTACATATATATAAATTATTACTACTCTTACAAGATTTCCATACATGAGGTAGTAAAAAATTTTAATGAGTAGGGCTAGGAATTGAGCTTTATAGAATAACCCATCTAATTTTCCTAGCAAACAGAAGAAAAGAATGACCTTAATAGCAAAATCTCTTTTATGTTTACCACATGGTGGGCACTTGCTGATTTTATGAAAAATTTTAAGTCAAATGAACAAGCGATTGCAGGGTTATGTGCTCTAGCAGTAACAATGCAAAAGTACAACTCAAAGGTAATGTACACACTTTCCGTAGTTGATCTATTAACTCCAGCTCTTCCTCTCTCTGTCTTGAATTGGGTCTTGATATGGAATCTGCAGAATCAGTGGTAGGTGCAGAAGATGAAAGAAGGGGTGAAGCATGACCTAAAAAAAATATGAGTATGTAAGACAGAAAGGTGACTGCTACTGCTGGAAAAATTTGCAGCTCCACCTGATCACAGGTGTCTCACAAGTATAGCACTTTTCACTTCTGGACTAACTCTTTAAAAAAATGTTTTTATTAAAAAAAAAGAAAAGTTTCAAATATACACAATAATAGCAAGAACAGTGTTAAAAACTACCAAATGTCCACCACCCATTTAACTCAACTATTTTTTTTTTTGATTAAAAATGTTTCCATTGGTGGCTAAAATGAACAAATTAGAGGACTCTAGATGCTGGCGAGGATGTGGAGAAATGGGCACCCTCCTACACTGTTGGTGGGGATGTAAACTGGTGCAGCCACTCTGGAAAACAGTATGGAGGTTCCTCAAAAAATTAATAATAGAACTCCCGTATGACCTAGAAATAGCACTGCTAGGAATTTACCCAAGGGATATAGGAGTGCTGATGCATAGGGGCACATGGACCCCAATGTTCATAGCAGCACTCTCCACAATAGCTAAAACATGGAAAGAGCCTAAGTGTCCATCAACGGACGAATGGATCAAGAAGATGTGGTTTATCTATACAATGGAATACTGCATGGCAATGAGAAAGAATGAAATCTGGCCATGTGTAGCAACATGGATGGAACTTGAGGGTGTTATGCTGAGTCAAACAAGTCAGGCAGAGAAGGACAGATACCATATGTTTGCACGTATAGGAGGATTAGGAGGAACTTAACAGAGGATCACGGGGGAGAAGAAGGGGAAAAATAGTTGGGGAGAGGGAGGGAGGCAAACCATGAGAGACTCTTGAATGCTGACAACAAACTGAGAGCTGATGGGGATGGGGGAAAGAGGAAGCGGGGTGATGGGCATGGAGGAGGGCACTTGCTGGGATGAGCACTGGGTGTTATATGGAAACCAACTTGACAATAAACTGTGAGAGAGAAAAAAAAATGTTTCCATTGAAAAATTAAATTATGCAAATCACAAGCAAACAGCTCAATAAATTATCACAAAGTGAACACAATGAGGTCAATAAATGCAATTATTACCAACACCCAGAAGCCCCTTTCATGACCCCTACCCATTAGTACCAAATGGTTATTTCCAACAACACAGGTCCTAGCTTCGTGATTTGTAATACCATAGATTAGTTTTGTCTAGTTCTGAACTTTCTATAAATGAAGCCAGACTGTATGTATGTATGCATGCTTTTGTCTGTCTATAAGATTTATCCATATTATATGTATTAATTAGTTCATTATTATTGCCTATATGGTATCCCATTGTACAAACACACCACAATTATGTATCCATTGTATCAGTCATGGACATTCTGTTTGGGGCTACTATGAATAATGTTGCTATAAATAGTTTTGTAAATACCTTGGGGTGTACATGTTTCCATGTTTCAGAAAGCAGAACTGCTGGTGACAGGATATACAAGTGTTCACCATTATTAGACAGTGGAAACAGTTTTCCATATTTGTTTACAGTCCCATATGCAGTGTACCTTGGGTTTGATTTTAAATCTCACTGCGAGGGCATCTATTCAGTTATACTCAAAGTAGTTATTTTTGATTTGAAATGTTTGTTTCCAGTTCTAGGTAACTTCTTTGGAGGCCAGGAAGATGTATATTAACTAAAAAACTAAAAAGTAGATTTTTTTAAAAAAATAATTACTGATTCATTTCTTTAAGAACACATAAAATAGCTTTTATCAACGGAAAAATCTGAAAAAGAGCTCATTACAAAGAGAAGGAATGTTCCCTAAAGGCTGAAAGAGTATTTTATTTTTTCCAACCTATAATCTTCTTTGGGTAGTGCTGAGAAACTCTAGTTAAATTGAAACAACATCCTCCTGTTTTTGTTTTTTTTTAATGTTTTTTTTTTTTATTTTTGAGAGACATACAGAGAAACAGAGAACGAGAAGGGAAAGGGTAGGTAGAGAGGGAGACATAGAATCCAAAGCAGGCTCTAGGCTCTGACGTGTCAACATAGAGCCCAACGTCGGGCTCAAACTCATGAACTGTGAGATCATGACCTGACCCAAAGTTGGGTCATGCTTAACTGACTGAGCCACCCAGGTGCCCCAAAGATTCTCCTGCTTTAATGCTAGTGAGATCAGAGTTTAAAGCTTTTGCCAAAGTAACGTCTCAGGGTAAAAGTTTAAAAGCATACAGCAGTAGGGGCACTTGGGTGGCTCAGTCAGTTAAGCATCCAACTTTGATTCAGGTCATGATCTCGCAGTTTGTGGGTTTGAGCCCCGCCTTGGGCTCTGTGCTGACAGCTCAGAGCCTGGAGCCTGCTTTGGATTCTCTGTCTCCCTCTCTCTGCCCCTCCCCTGCTTATGCTTTGTCTCTGTCTCTCTCTCAAAAAGTAAACATTTTAAAAAATGAAATAAAAGCAGACAACGGTTAATGTCATTATATAAAATACCCTCCCCCACTTCTTAGTCACTATGACTTACCTTTATTTCCCTCTGTCCTGACAGCTGCTCGGTGAAGGAAGCTTTCAGGGCGCTGGGCCTGGTTTCTCTGAATAGCAGCAGGAAAAGAATATGCAGGGGAATGATGAACTACATCAGCATGGAAAAGCAAAATAAAATTAAAGGAGATGAAAAAAAATTAAATATAGCAATAGACATATGTCACAAAAGTTCAATAAATGGTATAAAAGATCAAATTAAACATATTGATATAAAATGAATACAAAATTTGTTAACACAAAATCTAGTATAGAAAAGTAACCTTGATATCAGGAAGGCGGTTTGTATTTTTAATTGTCATGCTATTTTTGGTATGTCAATAGAGAATGAGTGTTAATAGACTAAATAGATTTTCTTGCAAAGCTATAACCCTGATAGCTCATGCTCATTTGTTCATATCAAATGGTTGAGGAGTTGAATTAAAAAATGGAACATGTGCAGGAAGTTCCCAATTTTGGGTCTGATTTCTCATCTTAGAAAAGGAAGTCACAGCTCTCTAAGAGGTAATTTATTAGGAAAATCCTGGTAAAGAATTATTCTTGATGTGGTTAATTGTACCTTTGTGTCTATTATTACCTGTTTCTGTTGTAGGTGAACTTGATACGGTATTTGATCTGTCATCGTTCTGTAGAGAAAAAGAGAGATCTCAATAATTATTATTCAAGAAGAGTTACTTTCCACATTTATGATTACTTTGGGATAAAAGAAAAATTCATGCAACTCTCTTTTAAAATAAAGTCTAGAAATGAGAATTTGGAGTTAAGGCCAAACCTTTTAGTTACTTTTGTAAGATACAAAGTTTATATAATGCATTCTCTAAAGATAGTTCTATTATATGATAGGTCTTTCTTATGACTATTAAAAATGATCATCCTAAGGCAGAAAATTTTATTGGGAAATATACACAGGAGAATAATTTCATTTTCTAGTATAGTTTCTAAAGTATTTTTCTACACCTCTGGGGAGTATAATTTAATGTATTAAGAAAAAAATGAAGTTAGGAAAGAAGGTATTTAAAGATGATAGATAGCTGTTATTTCCAGACTACCATTTAAGTCCAAGGTATTTTCACTTCATTGACCAAAGAGAACTGTAAAAAGGGAGAAGAGCTAGCTCAACATGTATAAAGTTTACCTAAAAAAAGAGAAATGTAATTAAGCTCATTTAAAAAGAAGTGTTGGTTGGATGGGTTAAAGACATTGAAGACTTGGCAGGGGAGTAGAATTAAGAAAGGTTAGAGTAACAATTTTCAAGGCCTTGACATCTGGACCCAATAAATTAAACATATTACAACTTTAATTTTGTAATGTTTGTTTATTTTTGAGAGTGAGAGAGAAAGTAAGAAGGGAGAGGCAGAGAGACGGGGAGACACAGAGTCCAAAGCAGGCTCCAGGATCTGAGTTGTCAGCACAGAGCCTGATGAACTCATGAATCACGAGATCATGACCTGAGCCGAAGTTGGATGCTTAACTGACTGAGCCAACCAAGTGCCCCTAACAGAATGATTTTAAAACACAGAGGTACATACATCTGCTGCCATGCTTTTTTCTCACTTTTGGTTTTAATATTTTCATTAATCTGTTCTCTGTAGATGGGAGTTGGGCAGAAGAAATGAATGATGATAGGGAATTTGTTAACATTCATGCATATATACACACATACACAAAAGCCATGCTGTTGAGAAGACTCTTGGACTGATCTGGAAGACATACTTGTGGTAATAATTCCTTGGTTTGATACTCTTTGGCTGAGAATTTATAAAGTAAGCTGAGCTGCTGAGTGAAGCAATGTGTTGTATCTTCACTAGTGAAAAAAGATATGTTTATCAAGTTTATAGATGCAAATAAACTAAGTTTAGGATGTTGAGAAGAAATGAAAATTTAAATTACAAATTTAAAATAAGAGCAACAAAAAAAGATCAGAGCAACAAGAATAAAAAGAATGAACAAGCAAATGAGGCAAAAATGATATCTTTACAAGGAAACAAAAGAGCATCCTTATTTTCAAAGAATATGAGACAGAAAGGAGAAAACTAGTTACCCCAACAAAGACCTGGTCAAGGTTCAATAGTACAAACAGGAAAACACAGGCAGTAGAGATTATTCCAGATATATAGGGAAAAAAATTTTTTAATTTTAAAAGACCCAGTAGGAGTTAGGCTAGAAAATTTAATATTGCAAAAAGCAATAAAGCTAACAGGCAACTCTATTAGATGAGAAGGAAGAGCTGAAACAAACTGCACCGAATGGCAATAAATGTTCTCCACCTCTAGAAACACCAAAAAGGTGATACACAGTTGTGTGTAACGAAAAACAAAGACAGAAGAGAGCAACTTGTAAAATGATAATTTTTAAAATGTACTTTTATTGAAACTAGAAATCTAAGTAACTTGGATTCTAGGGTACTAAGTCAGTTAGTTCGAATCACTCAGAGGCCACTGACTGTATTTGAGAACTTGCAGGACTGCACCAAAAAAACCCAAAAATTGACAGGAACTCAACTTTTTTGCCTGGTTAAGTAACAAAAGAAATAAACACATGCCTAAATATATATGTATATACCTGCTGTATAGTAATGGGGATACTAAAAAATAAAGGGTAGTAAGTCTTTTTAAACTAATCATTAACACTGCAGCAGGTCTGACAGAAAGAAAGAAAGTTAAACTTCCCACACAATGGTTGACAAGTTCAGATTTGGCCTTTTCAACTCTGATTCTGGGAGAGAATAAGCCCCAATGCCCTAAGGTATCCATTGAGTATAATGAATTACCTTCTCTCCTATGTATCTCCTATACTAGTTATATAACTTCCTTGAGAGAACAATCCCTCAATTTTCTATGTTGTCATTCAAATGAGGAACCTAGCTGAGAAAGGCTAGCAAAGAGTTAACAGAGATGAGAATTATAAAGGTTTTTCAGAAGTCACCCAGGTATGTGTAGCATCTTCAATAACGACTAAAGAGAAGGTTTATCAGGCTACAGATGGTATAAAGTTGGGGCCAGCATTTACAAGGACATGATGCAAGAATTTGAAAGTACTGTGGTAAATCAGAGAATTAAAAATGTTCAAAAGGCATTTGAAAAACAAAAGATACAAGATGTGGCAATTATCATCTAGGAGTATAACTGAAACATTTGAGAATTACACTGGGTACTGAGCAAAATGGATACTGAAATGAGAAAAGTCAACCTAACGCTTAGAATAAGATGTGAAAAAGCTTGTTTCATGCTCAGCACCAGGTAGGCTCTAATAAGGGCTATGTTTCTACTTGGGGACTGTGGAGCCAAAATGGAAGGCAGAGAAAGCTCAAAAGGATTAACAGACTGGGAAAGGCACATAAAACAACCAGAGTTGATCTGGGGAGAAGACAAGGGCAGCATCATAATAGTTTTCAAATAAAAAGATTCTTTTTTTTAAAGACTGCTAAATAACTAGAAAATCTCCACTCTGCAAAGAAGAGAAGTGTAAGCCACAGCATCGATCTAAGTTAGACAAGGGGAGAGTCTCTAACAGTGAAGATTATTAATAATTTCTTATATATTATATGATTAACAAATATGGAATCAACATTCCTACAGGCCTTCAAATAACAACATAGCACAGGATTGCAGGCCATATTCTAACTCTGTTATTAAGCTCGAAAGCAGCCACAGAAAATAGATAAACAAATGGTAGTGGCTGTGTGCCAATAAAACTATTTACAAAAACAGGTGGCCTCGGGGCCATTGCTTGTTGACCTCTACTAGAAGAAGGTTTTAGCAATGACACATTTGGGGATTAGGACTGAAATTATTTTGAATGCACATTAGACAACAGAGTTAATTTTATATTATTTATTAATCAAAGTAAAATAACTCATGACAAAAAAATAACCTTTGGTAGGAAAATCAGAATGGCATGTCAAACAGAATTTCAATATAAAGAATTAACACAGGCTCTGTGAGTATATCTAGCATGGTAACTCTTTCAAAACTTTCAAGTAAAATTAATGTTAAACTCAAATAGTTTTATAAGCTTACATGTATTTCATGCAATCCTAGATTTCACATTGCTGTTGGACCAATCAATTGGAAAAGTTAAGAACTCTTAGGCACAGCCCCTCCCCAAAGTTCCCAGTGTACTACAGTAACAAGAAAATACCTTAAGAGGCATGAAGGCAGAAGAATGAGGCAGGGAAGTAGCACAGCCCACTTGATTCAACCCTGACAGTGACTACATTTTAAAAGAGAAAGAGAAGAAACAGAAGGCAGCATTTATGTTAGCAAAATGTCAGGCAGGCAGGCAGATCTGGTCAATGAAATTAGAAAAGGAAAGGTTGTGGACAAACTTTCAAATGGTTTATTAAATACTGACAGGGCAGAAGGAATACTAGGGGAAAACCCCCTAACTTACAAAACAGGTTTCCCTTCTATATATGTCAAACTATTTCAATACCTCATACCATACCAATCAAGAAATGAAACGGTTTTTGGCATTTGGCTCAGAGGAGGCCAAGGTGCAACTATCTTCAGTCATCTCAAATCCAGGTTCATCTGGCACCAGCTGCCTCTGCCATAACACCTAAATTTGACCCCAACGACATCAAAGTCACACACCTGAGGTGTACTGGTGGGGAAGTCAGTGCCACATTTGCCCTGGCCCCCAAGACCAGCCCCCTGGGTCTGTCTCCAAAAAGGTTGGTGAACACTGCCAAGGCAATGGTAATTGGAAGGGTCTCAGGATTACAGTGAAACTGACCATTCAGAACAGACAGGCTCATACGGAAGTGGTGCCTTCTGCCTCTGCCCTGATTGTCAAAGGTCTCAAGGAACCACCAAGAGACACAAAGCAGAACAACGTTAAGCACAGCGGAACAATCACTTTCAATGAGATTGTCAACACTGCCTGATGGATGGGGCAATGATCTTTAGCTAGAGAACTCTCTGGAACCATAAAGAAATCCTGGGCACTGCTCAATCTGTGGGCTGCAATGTTGATGGCCACCGCCCTCATGACATCATAGATGACACCAACAGTGGTGCAGTGGAATGTCTAGCTAGTTAAGAACTACAACGGAAAATATTTTGATAAATGAGAATTTGACAACCAAAAAAAAAAAGGACAGGCATGATTTCTTAAAAGTGATTTTATGTAGAACTAAAACTGTGAACATCAAAACTGTTGAGCAAAATTGCCTTAGAAAATACCAAGACTCGTGCTATTCCTATTATGGGAAAACAAATCCAGTCAAAGAGCTCATTTTAACTGAGCAGAAATGGCATGAGTAAGAACACTATTTTTTCAACATTAATCCAAATTAGATTTCTTATAATTCAATGTAACAGCTCTGATGTGAGAAAACAAGAGGAATGAGGATTCTGTGTCATGCCTTGTGGATGAACCAGCATTTCATTTCTGCCTCTGTGTCCCAATGGCCTACGTGAGTATAAGAGGAATTTTCCTTTTCTCTGAATCCTTTATCCTTTCAACAACCTACATACAACTAGAAATATTGGATATATCTATTAGGTATATTACAGGTATAATTAGAGACAGTAAGCGTTAGAATCTATTGTACAGAATTTTGATTACAGATAAAACTCAAAGCATGACAATTTTTTAATTTGGTAAAGAGTGGAAATCAGAGAAGACAGGACTTTCATCACAAAGGGCACTGGATAAGACTGTATCTATTAAAACATCAAAATGCCAAAGTCTTAAATATATTAAGATCTTTTTAAGTTAAATAACTTTTAAAAATTTAAACTAGGATATTGCAAGGAAGCAGGGTTGTGGAAAAAAAATTTACACTAGGATCACAAATATGTGAGTCATGGAATAAAGGACCTTATTAAACACATGTGAATGTTCAGAAAAAGGTGTGTAGATGATCAATAAAATAAATACAACTATTTTTAATGACATTTGATAGATAGCAGTATTTCTTTTTTTTGGCAGGGTGGGCAAAAAAAAGTAACACTGTAACCTAATCTATCTAAAGGCAGAAAAAAGTGAAGAAGGAAATGTATCAAAGAACAACACTGTAACAACAGTCATATACTGTGTATGTGTCACCTCTTCAGTTTTCCTGGGCCTCCTTAAAATCAAATGTACAGACATTACTGTCAATCTCAAACATAAAAAGGCTAAAAGCCACTGTGTTGGCAAAGGAGGACAAAAGGAGTGGAAGAGAAGAGGATGTGAAATGAGCCTAGATACTCTCTAGTTTCTAGAGATGAGATACAGATACAGATGGGATATAGATGAAAACAACAGAAGCCTGGAGGCCAGCCCTAAAAGCATGTTAGTGTCAGGGATATTAAACATCATTAATACTTATTTCAAATCTTGTATTTCAATGCTGATGCATAGGAGCACATGTACCCCAATGTTCATGGCAGCACTCTCAACAATAGCTAAAACATGGAAAGAGCCTAAGTGTCCATCAACGGACGAATGGATCAAGAAGATGTGGTTTATCTATACCATGGAATACTACATGGCAATGAGAAAGAATGAAATCTGGCCATGTGTAGTAACATGGATGGACCTTGAGGGAGTTATGCTGAGAGAAATAAGTCAGGCAGAGAAGGACAAATATCATATGTTTGCACGTATAGGAGGATTAGGAGGAACTTAACTGAGGAACAAGGGGGAGAAGAAGGGGGGAAATGGTGGGGGAAAGGGAGAGAGGCAAACCATGAGAGACTCTTGAATGCTGACAAAAACTGAGGACTGATGGATGTAGGTGGGAGGGGGGATGGGCATAGAGGAGGGCACTTGTGGGGATGAGCACTGGGTGTTATGTGGAAACTAATTTGACAATAAACTATTTGTAAAAAAAAAAAAATCTTGTATTTCAAGATCTTTAAATGAAATCAAACATTTACACCTTCCTATATTATCAGACCTTTTCATCATGAAATAATTTAATGAGCAATATCAGATGCATAGTATTTATGTGTTCATTTCAGGAGTATTTATTGAGCACTTAATATATCCCAGGAACAATGATAGGGACTGAGTATAAACATAGGTAAATGCAACAGAGATTATCTCTGTTTACAGTCTCGTAGTCTAATAGGGGGTTGTAGGCTGAAGAAGAGTCATTTTAAAGATCTACCATTTAAGCTGATACCTGATAGATGAGTAGAAATTAACCAAGGAGTAAATGCAGGGAGGGAGAGGCATTCCATGCTGATGGAAATAGCATTTGCAAATTGTCGTGAGGTAGAAGCTGGCTTGCTATATTTGAAAAGCTGAAAAAATGCTGGTGTAGAATAAGCCCAGAGATGAGAGAGAGTATGCAGGAGCTTGCAGGCCATGTTAAGAAAGCTTTATTCGCCTGTTTCAGTCTGTGACTCCCTCTCTCTCTGACCCTCCCCTGCTCACGCTCTCTCTCTCTCTAGAAATAAATAAAAAAAACCTTAAAAAAAATTAAAAAAAGAAAGGCCTTTATTCTACCATATGAAGCTACTGAAGAGAAGTCTTGAGAAAAGCAGATATATGATTTTAAAATATGAGTTTTTGCACAGTGTTGGATACTATTTGGCATATAAAATATGTGAGACACAGTCCTTTTAAAGGGCATCTTATTTAGGTCAAACATGAATACTGGTAAGTAAAATACAAGCGTATGTGTTTTGAAAATGGCTTAAAGCCATTTCAGACTTCACGCCAAAGGGATTTATTTTTCCAAATTCCACATTTCCTTGACAAAGAAGTGTGGGCATTCAGACTTATGTCACTTCCTGTATGTTATTAAATCCCATCTTCAGTCTCCTAAATTGTTTTCCATTGTAGTGTGAGGGGCAATACACCATGGTGTTTAATAGCAGGTTCTCAAGTCAGCCAGATCTGGATTTGAATCCAATTTTGCACTTACTAGCTATGTGACCTCAGACAAATATTCTGGACAGAACATCTGTGCCTCAGTAATCATTTGTAAAAAGGTGATCAGTTTAACCTTAACTTTTAAGATCACTATGAGGAGTAAATGAGATAATTCTGGTAAAGTGTCTGGATCATCACAGGCTCTCAGTATTTTTCTCCATTTATTTAAATCATTTGCTTCTTAAACCAATTTATTTCCACTAAAACTCCAGAGGGTGGTGGTTTTATTTGTCTGTAAGACTGCCCAGTTAAAATGTGCTTTATCCATCTCAAAGGAAATGATAATTGCAGAACACACGGAAATTTTGACAATGGAAGTTTATGTAAGAAGGTCTCATGCTGAAGTGTGCAGTTCATGCAGCAGTATGCACAAGGGCGCAGTTACCAGCACGTAAGACAGGAATTGCTAAACACAGACTTTTGAACTGCTAGTTTTCAACACTACTGTAAAAAAAATATCATAAAACATGACAGGGAAAGCAATTATGTGAATGTTAGAATTCTCTTGCAAGGCTGACAAAAGTAAGATTTTTCAACACAGCTCTTATGTTATACTCATTTTCTGCTGAAGAAACAGGCAATAAAAGTAAACCAGTGCTAAAAATGATCAGTATATAACATTCCAAGTTAATGTTTCCCAGAATTTAAAAAATGGGCATGAGGGTAATCTTGAGAAGTAAGTATATTTGAAAAGTTTGGGATTTTCAGTATCTTAAAATAGATAATAAAATAGGATGGCAAATATACAGTTGTGTAATTAGTGTCATGGAGTAAAGAAATTCATTTAACACACAGATGACTCATGAACCAAATTAATGATTAATAAAGTAAGTGCACCTGTAATCAGAAATGTCGTTTAAAAAACTAATATGTCCTCTCCTCCCAACCCACATATGAAGCTAATATGGTCTGCAGTATGAATGTTTTACTTTTGGAAACACTAACAAAGCTATTTGAATCATGGCTGCAGAACCCTGGAACACCGGGTAAGTCATGAACTTAAGTAATGGAGGGAAACACTTGCAGCTATTTGTAAAGCATTTAGTAATGACGCTCATCATGTTTTATGATACATAATTTCTGAATGAAAAGTATAATTAACTATTCTCCAAACTCGACACAGCAATACATAACTCTGTTTTGTGCAAGGCTCTTACCACTAACAAGGCACTATCATCAGTGTGCTGAGACCTTCTGGATGGGAAGGGGCACTGGAGAGGCGGAGAGAAATGAAGCAATGTCAAAAACAAACGATGCACGCACATGACATATTTCACAAGTAACACAAGCGAAGCGGTATATCAAGACATAATGAAGATGCTAACATATAGGATCACATTCACAATCATTTTGAATTTATGTATCATAATAGCTAATAAACTGATTCTGAGTGATGATTTTCTTCCAAAGAACTTAATTCCAAATATGATCTGACTGCTTAAAAACTAAGCAAGGAGGGAACAGGGATTATTCTCTATCCCCAGAAGAGAAAGCTGAAGTATAAATGTAGCAGTAACAAAGAATTTGTGGACATTTAATGAGTCAGTGACAAATTAAAACAATAAATCCAAGAGTCATGATTTCTAGTCTATGCTCTCTTCATTACCTTTCTCAGACAAGAGGACAACTAGAAATTTAAACACTGTACACCCTATTTTCCTGAGAAGCTTTAATTTTTAAATAATGAATTTCTCCAGAATGACCATTAAGAAGAAAATTTGAGGGTAAAAAAAGAAGCGGTTATTATTACCCTGCAAACAAAACGACTGAAAAGGCTGAGTGAATCTTTCAGGTATTAGACCAATGCGTAAGTTCTAAGATAAACAAGAAGTAGTACTGGTACATCCAATCAATAAGATAAGGAAAAAAATGCTTTATAATAGATCGTTTAAAACATTTCAAACAATGTATTTTACATTCCAGAATAACTTGTGCTTTAAAAACTCTGTGAAACTTCATGTTTGCCAAGCCCCATGTGTTAGGTCTTCATGTAATTTAGTTTACAGAAAACAGATTCAAAATTCACACAAAACAATACCTTTAAGCATTTTTAAGGAAGCAGTGATCATAAACTGAAAACATGAGAAGGCAAAGATAAAGAAAAATGGTTTTAAAAGCCGACTGCAATACAAATACTTATTTAATAAGTTTCATTTTAACAGATCAAAATAGGTAAATTTTAAAAAATGCTTAAGCAATTAATTTTGTATGTTAACTTGCAATGAAAATGTACTATTTAATATTATAAAACTACTATGTACACTGTGTAATCAATAACATACACACTCAGGAAATGACCCCTGGAGCTGAGATATATGTAGTACCTTTCTGTTCAATACCAACACCGTTTACTGGTGCCAGATAGAGCTCCCTGGACTACCTCTCACTACACAGTATGCTTTGAAAATAGATAAGGGAGATGATACTTCTGTGGGGATGGAGGAAGGAAATAAATGATCTCCAGATGAATTAGTATAGACTAAAAACCCCCTGATCTATAGACTTGGGTTAACTCCCTAGCCCATATCTTCTACTCCTGAATAAGTGGAATTTTGTGAGGGGGAAAAGGAAATTGGCAATATTTTGATCACTGAAATCACATGATAATCGCACGCAAACATTTCATTTCCAGTGTAATAAAAATTTCCAAAGAGAAAGTGATTATATAGACTTACCTCACCATCTAGGGAAGGTTGCTGTTTTTGTGGACTTTGTGATGCTTTGTGCTATATACCCCAAAGCAGCCCCCCCAAAAAGGGAAGTTGGTTAGAATCTGAAACACTGGAAATGATAAATTCTATTTACCAAAATAATCAGCCACACTAATTTCTGTCTCTCTCGTGTGCAGCACTTTGCCAGATTTACTGGTTGGAAGATGTCACCCTTTCCCTTAAACAGCTTACAATTAAACAGGAAAGAGCAACAAACTAACAGTATTTCATGTGTCTATAAGCATTTATAAATAAAAATACAAAAAATGTATGTTTTTTATATGTGCATGCAAACAAACACAGTCCCAGTCAGAATAGTGATCTCTCACTATATTCTCTCAATGAACTCATTCTCTCTTTCTCTACTGCTAACACCCTTAACTTCCTCCCATCAGCCAAATTTCAGGTTTGCATTTTCAACTGCCTGTGGAAACTCCCTGTTTGGAAACCCACGGTCACCTCATGTTCAGCATATTCAAAAACAAATCCATAAATTCCCATATTAATTGGCTCTTTCCCCAATTTGCTAATTTCTACTACTATGTCAAATAATTATACCATCTGTATAATCAGAGTTTTATAATGTATTCTTATATACATTATGTTAAATGATTCTTTTTACTCTCTCAGATACACAAACATCACAATCATATTCTTTTTTTTCATAAGTTTTAACTATTTATTTTTGAGAGAGAGAGAGACAGAGCACGAGCAGGGGAGGGTCAGAGAGAGAGGGAGACACAGAATCCGAAGCAGGTTCCAGGCTCTGAGCTGTCAGCACAGAGCTTGACGCGTGGCTAGAACTCACAAGCTGTGAGATCCTATCTGAGCCGAAGTCGGATGCTTAACTGAGTTAAGCCCCCATAATCATATTCATTTAAAGACAAAAGAATTGAGGACAAGAGAAGTTATATGATATGTGCAAGGTCCACAAATCTGGAAAGTAGCATAACTGAGATTTGTACCTATATCTTCTGTTCCCAAATCCTACATTCTTTCCACCAAGCTAGACTCCTTTTCAAACTATTCTCTCAGCCTCAAAATCTTACTTTGGGTTTTCCTTTTTTCCCCCACTCATCTTCAGTGATTTATTCAACATTTACTATATCTATGTATAAAATATAATAAAACCTCTCTTAAAATCTCTTAATTTACAAAACCCATTGTGGTGGTAAGGGGTGCAACACTCACCACACTAGTAAAAGTATTAGGTGCACCTATAAGAATTCTGAAATAGTTAAATATTACATCTATGAGGAAATTAAAAGCCCAGAATGATTCAGTAACTTTCCCAAAGCCAAGCACATAATGAGTAGCAAAGCTGGATTCATATTCAGATATTTCTGATTCTTTTTTTAAAATTTATTTATTTTTTTAGATTTTTAAAGTTTATTTATTTTAAGAGAGAGAGAGAGAGCACAAGCAGGGGAGGGGCAAAGAGAAAGAGAGACAGAATCCCAAGCAGGCTCCACGCCATCAGTGCAGAACCCGATATGGGACTCAAACTCACCAACTGCTGAGATCATGACCTGAGCCAAGATCAAGAGTTGGATGCCTGGGGTGCCTGGGTGGCTTAGTCGGTTAAGCGTCCGACTTTCGCTTGGGTCATGATCTCGCGGTTCGTGGGTTCGAGCCCCGCGTCGGGCTCTGTGCTGACTACCAGCTCAGAGCCTGGAGCCTGTTTCAGTCTGTGACTCCCTCTCTCTCTGACCCTCCCCTGCTCACGCTGTGTCTCTCTCTCCTAGAAATAAATTTAAAAAAAAAAAAATTAAAAAAAAAAAAAAAAAAAGAGTTGGATGCTTAACTGACTGCACCACCCAGGCCGTGCCTATTTACTTATTTTTGAGAGAGAAAGGGATGGGGGGAGGGACAGAGAGAGAAAGAGAATCCCAAGCAGGCTCTGTGCTGTCAGCGGTCAGCACAGAGCCCAATATGGGGCTCAAACTCACGGACTGTGAGATCATGACCTGAGCTGAAATCAAGAGTCAGACACTTAACTGACTGAGCCACCCAGGTGCCTCCAGATATTTCTGACTTTAAGCTCTTACCACTATGTAACACTGCCTCTCCTTAGGAACCTCAGAAATCATCTGGTTTTATGGCTTCATTCTGCACCCTAGTTTAACTGTTCCAATTACTGTTTCATTTTCCTCATCTCTTTCTTTTTAACACATTCTAACACGAGCAGATCAGTTTTTCAGAAGTACCTTTCCTCTCATGTTTTTCTCCTGCTTAAGAACTTAGAATTGTTCTCTTCTACCTAAAAGATCAAGATCAAACTCTTATTTGACAGTTAATACAAAACATCCACAATGTGATGGTCTCTTACTAGCTCTGTGATGTCTACAGAAGGCAAGTTAAATGATAAATGAGTTAACGCAGAATGCACAGAACAGTGCTTAGGATGTAGTATGTGTCAGCCATCATCATTTACTGACAGTACCACATTCTGGTCACAGGTGAGGGTTTAGAGCTAGCCTTTTTTCTTTAAAGAAACTTTTCATTTTAGGTCACCCTTATTTCCATTTTCTGTGAGCTTAAAAGATCATCATCAAGGGCTTGATGTATTTGGAAAAAAAAAAGAGAATTTTTTCACGTGTATGGTACTTAAAGAAGATGGTCTTTGGCTAGTTATAAAACACAAGAGAGGAAGCTTTTGGGAGCCAAGAGTGATTCATTCATTTAATCATTCCTTCAACAACTACGGGCTGACACCTGCTAAGATCTAGGGATGGAGCAGTGAATAAACAAGACAGATACACTCCCGGTCTTCATGGTGTTTACGGATAAATGGAAGAGACAGATATCAAACAGACAAAAATAGAAATAATTCTTATGAAGAGAAAAATCCAAGGTGACTTCCAAATAAAAAGACTTTAAACGATAGAGGCAAAAAAAAAAAAAAAAAAAGTTGGACCAGGTTTAGATGCAACTGTAGAGACTATAAAATTAAAAAAAGAAAGAAAGAAAAAGTATTAACAGGGGTTGTTAGCTGAGTAGACGTGGAGAGAACAGAAAGGAAAGAATCTAAGATGATTCTAAAGTATTAAGCCTGTGACCCTCACACTGTTTTGGTACTCACCAGAGTGAGGAAGTCAGATGGGCTTGGACAACAGTAGTTCACATTTGCATGGCACTTTAAAGTTTACATGGCACTTGCACTTTCATGATCTAACCAATCTTTATTAATGGACTGAGGAAATGGAAGCTGGAGAGTAAAGTGAGATGTCTAAAGACAGATCGCTAATGAAGAGGAAGAGACTACTGTCCCAAGTACAAGATGATCACTTCACAGCCTACCTTACAGGAGGACAATTCATGTAATCACAAGCAGGAGACAGTTACGCTATTTACTCGAGATTCCACATAGTGAGAAAAAAGAAAGTTGACACTTTAATTAAGACAAACACTGACAGCCTCAGCAAAACAAATAAGTACTTACTTCTAAAACAATTTAGGAATGTCAATGAAATTTGGCAAAATTTCACCTTGACAAAGTCCAGGACAGCATCTCTTTGAATCTGCTTGGTCCTTATTTTCTCCTCCTCATACTGTAGGGCTGCAAGCTGGGCCTCTCTCCGAGTACGCTCTACTAATTGTTCTCTTCTCCGATGAAGTTCCAAGTCTGCATGTGATAACTGGAACAAAAGTATTTTGCATTTGCAAGTGGGGCTAAAGGTCAACTTATCAATATCAATATAATCAATGTAGGGAACCAATACTGACCCAAGCAATTTCTACTTTGCAGTCACCTAGCATTTCTTTTTTTTGTTAATTTTTTTTTTCATGTTTTTTATTTATTTCTGAGAGAGAGAGAGACAGCATGAACTGGGGAGGGTCAGAGACAGAGGGAGACAGATTCTGAAACAGGCTCCAGGCTCTGAGCTAGCTGTCAGCACAGAGCCCGACACGGGGCTCGAGCCCATGAACCGTGAGATCGTGACCTGAGCCGAAGTCGGATACATAACCAACTGAGCCACCCAGGTGCCCCATCTAGCATTTCTTTAAATGTGTTTACTGCTAATCATCTCCCATCTTTCTGTACTGTGTTTTTATATGCATTATAAAGCCATCATGTCAATAAAGATTTATTTTGTGTCTAGGGTCTAAAAGCATTGTTAACAAGTATTAGGTACACATGTTACATTAACTGTATCTTAGAGGAGACAAGTAGTAAAGTTTACAGATGTCTGGCAATTAATGGTACTTTAAGTATTATAAAAATAGAAAATCATTTTAGTTGAAAATCAGAACTAAAACAGAAAAAAAACAAAACAAATTTACCTGATTGTGATTTGGTGATAGTGACATGAGAGAAGATGGCTCAGATGAAACCCTGACCCAAAAAAGAAAAAAAAAAAAGGAAAGAAAAAATTATTTGGCAAGACAAGCAGTATATAAAAGACAAGTAAAATTTTACTGTTAATGTAGCCTTCTTTTAATTAATAGGCAAACTGTCTGGTCAGCAATGAAAGACTGACTGCATTTTGTAAACCTGAGCTCAAGTCATTAAATTAAGCTACAGGAATACCTGATGTCTCCAACTCACATTTCCTGCGATGATATCACTGATCAAGCTACAGAGAGTCAACAATGGTATCAGCCAGTGCTGACCAGACATTTGAGATCACTTTTCAAATAGCATCATTTCATGACAGCATACATAACTATTATCTTCTTCATTACCATGACTGAAACAAGATACATGTAAATAGAGATCGTTTTATCTACAAAGTTATTTTATCAACTGAAATCTGGAATATGGCAAAACCTGGTCACTATAGTTGTAAAGCACCCTCCTCCCATCTTCAACTGATGTAGCAATTTTAATAACAAAAGTAAAGATTCTGTTGATTTTTATTTTTAAGAAGAAGACGAAAACTGATTTGATGTTTTAAGAAAAACAGTAAAAAATTGCTTCTAATCTTTATTAATGCTAAATCTTTTTTTTCAAGGATTTTATTTATTTATTTTTTTTAAGGATCTTATTTGTAAGTAACCTCTACACCCAAAGTGGGGCTCTAACTCACAATCCCGAAATCAGCAGTTGCATGTTCTACCAACCAAGCCAGCCAGGCACCCCTACCAATGCTAAATGTTATAATTTGGTATTTATCTTTTTCCTGAATTGGATTTAGTGTTTCAAGTGTCTAGTACTCATTTGTCTCTCTGAACTAACAATGGTGGGAGAAAGTGGCTTTTGACATTTAGCACCTAAAATTTTAAACTATGATTACTAGTCTGTCAAGTTGATTTTAATGCATTAAATTAGCGTGTTACAAGGCAAGAAAAAAAAAAGTCTCCCAAAGCTCTGGTAGTTTCTTATTACTGATTAATAATACAAATTCTTCAACCTGGCTCTCAGGATTCTCACCCCATTTCAGAAACATGCCCACTATGCAATCTTTTCTCCAGCAAGATGCCCTCACTTGTCATTATTAATTCCTTACTTTAAGCCTCTTCAATAGATTCCAACCTATGGAGATTTTCTTAGAAAAGATCTTTTTTAGAATGTTTTTCTTTAAAATTGGGACTTTCTCTCTTGAAGTACATGTGTAATTAATACTTCTTTTGCGTTTATCAACTGTGATTTGTGTTATTTTTTTGGACAGTACTTTTCAGAGGCAAATATAGAAACTAACAATCCTTGAGCTGCTATCATGCACTCCATATGCCTTGTGAAGTACTTTATACACAGTGTTTCTCAATTACTTCTCATGCAATCTTATGCAGTAAGAACTATTAGAATCCTCATTCTACAGTTGGGAAGCTGAGAAATGGAAGTTAAGTAACTCTCCCAAGGTGATGCAGCCAGTAGTCTTTATCCATCTGATTTGAATTCTTATCTGTCTGACTCAACCGTAGTTTGCTCTCTCATCTTCTAGGTATGCAGCCAACAAGAACTGGAGGTGCCTGAGAAACCATGGAGTCCAAACCATAGCTTTACAAACTGAGGTCCTCAGAGGTTTAGTGACAGTTGCTGCAGGCAAAGCCTGGATGAGAATTCAAGCCACCTGACTTGGAGATTAGTGGCTCCTACTATACCATACTTCTCCACTCTACAGCAGCAGAATGTAGGAAGGAGAAAGCGAAGAACACAGATTTAAAAGCATATGGACACACACACAGAAAAAAAGGACCTGCAAGGGCCAGAGTAAGCTGTGAAAGTTAAAGATGGAGGCAGAGCATGAAGCATGGCATATGAGAGAATAAAAGTGGTAGCAAAGAAGGTATCTGAGAACTGACAGCTTCCGCAAGCTGATCACCAGGTGCTAATGTGGGCCCATCATGACTTGGGTGCTCCTAGGTGTCATCATGCTGCTTCGTTCAGGCATACGACCTTTTCATCTAGGAATATGTTTCTCAGTAGCAGTGTCTTAATATGTTGGATAATTTTTCTGTTGTACCAGCTTGTCCTGTACATTACAGGTAGTTTAGTCTTAATGCCTGCCAGTAACACTTTTTGGCAACCAATTCCCAACAAATAAACACATTTTTCAAATATCCACTACAACCTATTGAGAAACACTGGCTTACCCTATACTTTCCTAAACTAAAAAATACAATAAAAAAGCAAAGTAAAGAAGTAAAAAAGCAAAATGTTCTCTTTCCCTCCACATTTATTTTCTTATATTCGTTACAAATCTTTGAAGTATTCACAAAATTCTTTTTTTAAAAATTTTTATGCATGAAAAGAAAATTTTGAAAAAAATTATTTTATATGACCTCAAGAGTATAGCCATAGTTTTTACCTTTATTAAAATAATTAAAATAGCACCCAAAAAGTTTTGATGGAAATTATAATTTTTTAAAGGTACATAATAAATTACTTAATAACTCCCTTAGACAAGGTTTAAAATAAAACTTAAGCTGGGCAAAAAACTTCCTTCAATTTTTACTAATCTTTCCCAACCTTTACGTTATCACTCCTAGTCAAAGGCTTTCTTTTTTAAATTTTTAATGTTTATTTATTTTTAAGAGCGAGAATGAGAGAGAGCATGAGTGGGGGAGGAGCAGAGAGAGAGGGAGACTCAGAATCCAAAGTAGGCTTCAGGCTTTGAGCTATCAGCACAGAGCCTTATGCAGGCCTCGAACCCACAAACCATGAGATCACGACCTGAGCCGACGTTGGACACTCAACCGACTAAGCCACCCAGGCGCCCCTAGTCAAAGGTTTTCAAGAGAAAAGTAGAGAAGAGACAAGAAGAGAAGAGAAGAAAGGGGAAGAGAAGAGAAGAGAGGGTTGGTAGGGTAAGATTTTTAGCTGGGTTATAGCCAATAAAGAAGGAGACATGAGTGAGTCTGGGAGAAGCAACATGGTCTAGTGGCTAAAGGCATGAACTTTAGAATTAGTTGTGACTGAGTTTGAATCCAGGGTCTGTCACTTATTAGTAGGTGACTATGAATGTAATTGGAAAACTATTAGGTCTGAAAACATAGGCTCAGGTAAGGGAAGAATTCCTCAGTACAGGCAGAGCAAAAATTTCTAAAAAGTAGTAAAAACAGGAACTCTGGGTTAAGGTTTAGTAGAAAGATTTTTGGCTCCCATGAAATCCATCCCCAGTGTTACTCCAGTAAATATGTTACAAGTCAAAAAGGACTCTGCAAATGAAATTACGGTTACTAATTGGTTGACCTTAAAATGGGAAGATTATCCAAGTGGGGCTAATAAAATCACAGGAACCCTTAAAAGCACAAGAGAGCAGGGATGAGGGAGGGGCAATTGGACGGAAGTGGTCAAAGCTACAAACTTCCAGCTATCAGACAAATAAGTACTAGGGATGTAACGTACAACATGATGACTACAGTTAGCCCTGCTGTTGATTCCTACGAAAGTTAAAAGAGTAATCCCTAAGAGTTCTCATAAGGTGAAAAAAATTATTTTTTATTGTATCTATGAGATGATAGCTATTAACTAAACTTACTGTGGTAAGCATTTCACAATATATGTAATTTAAACCATCACACTGTATGCCTTTAACTTCTATACAGTGACATATGTTAATTATTTCTCAATACAACGGGGAAGGGGGAAAGAAGGCAAGAGAGTTTGTGGGACGTGATAGAAAGGGAAATCAGAGAGATTCAAAATGTGAGAAGAAATAGATTCAAAACAGCTTGCCATACGACTTGACAATGGAGGGAGCCATGAATCAAGGACTGTGGGTAGACTCCAGAAGCTAAAACTGAGACCCAGCTGATAGCCAGCAAAGCAACAGGGACTTCAGTCCTATAACTGCATAGAATTGAATTCTGTCAACAACCTGGGTGAGCCTGCAAGTGGGTTCTCCCCTAGGGTCTCCAGGTAAGAATCTAGGCCAGCCAGTACTTTGGCTATGGCTTGCCAGACCCTAAGTGGAGAATGAAGGCAAGCCTGCCCAGACTGTTATCCCACAGAATTATTATGTTTTAAGCTGCTAAATTTGTGGTAATTTGTTACTAAATTCCAGAGATCCTGAGCCTTCCTTATGATAGATGCAGGAGGTAAGAGGGACAGGAGATAAAGCAAGGACCCAACCAAAGTGGAAAAACACAACAGGAAACCCCTGTGTGAAACTGGAATCTTAAAAGACCACACTCTCAATTTAAGGACACAAGGCAACTAAAAAGCCTTTCTGAGATGAACTTCAATTTCAAAGATTTGAAATTTAGGGTGCCTGGGTGACTCAGTCAGTTAAGCATCTGACTCTTGATTTTGGCTTAGGCCAAGATCTCACAGTTGGTGAAATCAAGGCCCACGTCGGACTCCGCACTCATAGCTCTTTCTCTCTCTCAAAATAATAATCATTAAAAAAGAGATATGAAATTTAACTAAATCCCCATGAACTAACCTATGAGACTATGAAAGGCCAATTATGAGATTTCTTTCTTTCACTATTCTCCCACATTTTCTTTACCCATCTATATCTCAGGTTCCAAAACAGGTTTAATATCTTGTCAAGTATAAAGAACTATGAATGACACTTTCCACAAAGGAAAATCACATTTAAGAATAAGTATGTCAAGTCTACTACTTTAAGAGGTCATACAGGGCCCCTGGATGGCTCAGTTGGTTAAGCATCTGACTCTTGATTTTGGCTTAGGTCATGATCTCACGGTTCATGGGATTCAGTCCTGCACCAGGCTCTGTGCTGAGTGTGAAGCCTGCTTGAATTATTCTCTCCCTCTCTCTCTCTCTGCCCCTCTCCCTGGCTTGCAGTCTCTCTGAAAAATAAATACACTTAAAAAGATAACCAAACAAACATCAAGTAGTTAAAAAAAAAAAAAGACTTTATACGAAAGAGAGGAAGCAAAGACCCAAAGTCTGTGAATTTTTCAACTACTGTGATACAGTGTATGGCAAGAAACTTTGGAATTCAAGAATAAGCAGTGGTGCTCTAAGCAGTCAAGTTAATTTTAGAAATATTCTGAGGCACTAAGTGTAGTGAAAAGATCATCTCAATTGAGATAGAATGAGGATATGTATTGCTGTCTCTGTCTAGCTCCCTGTTTCTAGTCAAAAGTTTAGGGAAAAAAAATTTTCAGGACTCCTGAAATTCATTTAGCCCTCTTAATGCATAAATCCAGACATCACTACAGAATCTCCCTCCTATTAAGTATCTTCAAATCAAATAATTATACAAGTAATGGTTTATGCAATCTGAATTTAGAATCAATAAATCAATTTTACTTCTTTTTCTATTACATGAGCAAAAAGCACACTGTCATTCAGCTCTAAATACACAGTATCTAAAACACACAGTCTCTAAGTATCTTCATCATACACAAATCTGCACAAAACCAAAATCATTTCATGCTCTCACCTAATGAGTTTTAAAGACAAAACAGAGTTTTTTTTTTTATTTTATTTTTATTTTTTTAATGTTTTATTTATTTCTAGGAGAGAGAGAGAGACAGCGTGAGCAGGGGAGGGTCAGAGAGAGAGGGAGACACAGACTCTGAAATAGGCTCCAGGCTCCGAGCTGGCAGTCAGCACAGAGCCCGACGCGGGGCTCGAACCCACGAACCGCGAGGTCATGACCTGAGCGAAAGCTGGACGCTTAACCGACTAAGCCACCCGGGCGCCCCAGACAAAACAGAGTTTTAAAAAGAATTGGTTTCTTCAAACCTGTTTTGATATGAATATCTTCTCATGTCTTCTGTTTTTTGAAACTCCCTCAGAGGTACTGGCTTTATGGGTGATCCCTAGGCCAAAAGAACAGAAAAAAATCAATGTAACATATGAATCCACAACACTGTGACTACTACATAGTTCACGTTCAACTTGGCACTTAGAGATCTGTATATTACACTAAAAAATATTTCAACAAAATATTCAAATGTAAATTTTTATGTTTAAAAGCATTCATTATAAGCTATATGACTGCTTTGGTAAACAAAACACTATGCATAATCCCAAAACACTTATTCTTTTTTTAAATTAATTTTTTAATGCTTTACTTATTTATTTATGAGAGAGAGAGAGAGCGCGCGCGCAGAGGAGGGTCAGAGAGAGAGACACACACAGAATCCGAAACAGGCTCCAGGCTAGCTGTCAGCACAGAGCCCGATGCAGGGCCCAAACCCACAAACCGTGTGATCATGGCCCGAGCTGAAGTCGGATGCTTAACTGACTGAGCCATCCAGGCACTCCCCAAAACACTTATTCTTTAAAAAGTGGATTTCTTTCTCACTGTATTATATAAATTACACTGACCATACAGTAATATTTAGTAAATGATAAGGTGTTCGAACTTGAGAAGATTTTAGGTGTTATCTAATACAAATTTCCATCCAGAACAGGAATTTCTACCTGCCCTACCCTGACTTGTGCTCAGCCTCTCTTCAATATTTCTAGTAAGGGGGAAATTCACTGGGCAGATTCCATTTCTTTACTTCTTCATTATTACAAATTGTTACTTATGTTGGTTATACAAATAGTCCTGGGGATGTTGGAATATTAAGATAAAGCAAAAAGTAACTTCTCTTTATGGTAAAGCATGGTGTTAACTAAAAGAAAAACATATGCGGTTTAGTTTATTTATAAACTAAAGGGTAAAGGTCATTTTAAAAAACATTACTGAGGAAAATTAAACTGGACTCGGTGATAGGGACCACACAGTGAACAATAAAATTATAAGTCAAAGGTAAAGGCTTACTGATCATCACAACATGTATTTTGTCAAATGAGAATCTATAGAAGCAATACAATCTTAGTTCAACACCAAAAATAATCATTAAAATGGGTATTCTTAAAGGGAAAGAAAACCATCTTATCCAAAAAACATATCTGAAAATCAAATGTTAAACTATTTATAGTCTATCTCCAAGAAATAGTTGCCTCATATAGAATTAGAAAATCTTTGGTGAGTTACTGCAAAAGGCTAAAGCAGACTCTTTTAAAGTTTAGGCCTGAGGATCATACAGAATGAGATATCATTCTAGTACTCTGATCAAAGAATAATTATTCTAATTTCAGTGAATATGCCTTTTTAAATTAAACAAAAATCTCTCCTAGTATGTTAACATCAGTGATTTAGCACTCTGGTTTTACAATACTGCAATTATTGTTAGAGGTACATGAAATTTCCATGATAAAATGAATGTGACATTGGTTTCATGTCATATCCTATAAATATAAGCTATACCTTATTTTATCATAATACCTCTCTGTATACCGCTATATATGTGAGAGGTATTATAACAAAATTAAACAACAGCAGAGTGTTTAAAATCTCAAATAGCTTCATTTCTTTTAACAACTCTTTTTCAGATCATATTCAAGAATATAAAAAATATTTCTTCACTGGCTATTAAACCATCTAAAATAATGCTTACTTCATCATATTTTTATAGATGCTAAGCTGTAGAAAACCTTAGGACACAGAAGTCATAAAGACCCTTATGACATAGAATCAGAAAGACTACCACACAAGTATAGATGGAATTAAAAAAATGTACAAAATAGCAAATATAATGGCTTTAACAAATGATACTATAATTTTTCACTAGTATAATACACAAGCATTTTCACTTTTAGTAGAGATACCTCATCTCTGCAGTCTAACTATCCATAAAATTATCAAAGAGAAAAACCACAATGAAAGAAAAGATTCCCTTTAAGATTACAATGTGCATTATTAATTTTATTATTTTTTTGCAAAGCAGTTGCCCTTCACCCTAACAAGAATGCTCATGACCTGAATCATATGTAGTTTCATTAGTCACTTGGTACACTGCTACTACTGGGCTGTAGGACTTTGATTTATATAATATGATCCAACTTTACATATAAGAGTGTCTTCTGAACACCAACAAAAAATACTGTGTTCAGAAGTCTTCAGACAGGAAGACTGAAGGATTTTTTTTAAAGAATGATAATATCACCCCACAGCATACCCACTTGAGTGATTATTCTCTATTTCTAAAAGGCTAAATACATCATTCTCTAAAAAGGCCCCAAGTGTTTCTCAAATAACCCCTGCTCCGAGCCTGGGACCAACTCCAGACATTAACATCACACACACTGAAGTGGAGCCATTCCATTATGCTGACTAGATACACTGAAGAATGCAATCTCCACTGAGACCCTTGGGGGATTGGCAGAGATTCCACAGTGGGCTGAATGCTTATTTGTTTTCTAAGGCAACTCAGTGCTCCACTAAAAGAGACACCCAAGAATGATAATGGCAAACAATTTATATTCTGTGTGACTTGGCATAAAAGCTCCGATATAATTAAGTACATTATAAAAATTCTATCGTTAAGTTTGTATGTGCTCCAAAGTCAGCAGTTTGGTTTGATTCTTAAATTACTGATCAAACTACAATTTACTAGTTTGTAACAGTAAAAAAGCAGTAAGAACAACAATGAAAAGCATTACATTCCTTTGCACTTTCTTCAGAGGGATAGTATACTCTTAGGACTTCTCGTTTAGTCTTCAAAATTCTGAAATCTGTCTTTTTTATTTGAAAAATAAAGCTAAACCCTACTTCAGACTATTGTCTGATTTTTTACAATAAATCTGAAAAATTTAATCCTGAAGTTAGAACTGAACATTATAAAATAATACTTAGGCCTAAACCAACAAATCACTAATACGACTGAGATTTATGCCATCATGAACTGTTTTACTAGGGGACAGCAACAGATTTTGGCTGAAGTGTGTGTAGTACCTCATGAGAGATTCGCCGTTGTTCAATATACGCCATAAACTGGGAACTGAGGCTGTCTGAGTCCAGGCCCTTGGGCTGTCTCATCTCATCATCTTCCTCCTCTGCAGCACAGCTGTCGATGTAGTCGATCTGATCCAGATCATGTTCCACTGTCCACACCACACACACACAACAGGCAAATTCAACAGCCAATAAAGACATTCAGTTGTATTCTTTCCTGTTCCCTAACACCTTCTATTCTGAAAGTAGGAGGAATGAGAAGTGTAAATTATTTAAGCCTTTCTTTTTCAGTCCATAGCCACTCACAAAAAAAAGTTCCAGAAAAATCTTAGTCCTAATTCACTAAGGAATACAGTAATTGATAGTAATTATGGGACTACGGCCCTTTAATATTTTTTTCTTTGGTTAGCTCTTTACTGTTTTAAACAAAACAGCCTGAGTGTGTGAGACAAAGAGAAGAGCTTTTAAACATGAGAAGTTACATCTTCTTTTAGATTTTTTTCTCTCATGTTTTAGCTTTGGGGCTTAATCATAATCTCTTCGAGGAACTGGGAGGCAGAAAACCTAACAGAGTCAGGTCAAAAGGAAGGATAGGAAGAAAGTGGCCTTAGAGAAAAAGAAACAGATACTGACTACTCTTTCTCTTCCTGTAACTGTTGTCCACAATTAGAACAATGGTTTTCTTATTTATAAATTTATTTTCTAGAGCTCAGCAGCATAGACATTTTGTAGCAATTTGTAGCAGGAATCATCTGAGAATTTTTGCTTCTCAATGCTTTGGGGTGAGGAAAGGCATTTAAGTAAGATATAGCCCCATCATTATTCTAGTGTATTTGGGAGAGCTCCATTATTTTTAAGTTTAAAAAGTAACTTCATCTTAAAGATTTTATTTTTAAGTAATCTCTACACTCAATGTGGGGCTTGAACCCACAACCCTGAGATCAAGAGTTGCATGCTTCACTGACTGAGCCAGCCAGGCACCCGAAAAGTTAACTACTTTTATAAACTAGTTAAAATGGCGCACTAGAAAAAAAATTTACTACTAAACTTTCTAAGGTTCCCCAGAAACTAAACCCCAGCCATTACTGTATGATGTTCTATAGATTGCCTAAAAGATGTAGTTGCTGGGAATAATGAACTTGGAGAAGGCTATTTTTCTATTTTCAGGTTCAATTATTTCTAAATAATTCTATAAATGCAATTAATATGAAAATGAATTTTGAGTTATTAGACTTATAATAATAGGCAAAAGATGAAAAGGTTATATATTAAGTCTATACCCAAATTAGAAACCGGGTACATAAATGTATGTTTTTTCAATGTGCTACAATTTGTGTGACTAAATAAATGGTTCATTCATTATGACTACTACCCAAGAAAGCAACATCACTTTTTCATACTATCTAGACCAGTGCAGTCCAAGAGAAATAGAATGCAAGCCATAAATGTGAACCCACATAAGTAATTAAAAATTATCTAGTAGCCACAGTAAAAAAAGATATTAATTTTAATAATATGTTTTGCTTTGTCCAATATATCTAAAATATTACAGCATATAATCAATATAAGGTATTATCGATATTTCACATTCTTTTTTTTTTTTTTTTTTCATGCAAAGGCTTCATAATCCAATCTGTACTGGGTATTGTAGACTTACAGTACATCTCAATTTAGAAAGGCCTCATTTCAAATAACTACACGTGGCTAGTGGCTACCATACTGGACAGCACATATCAAGAAAAAATTATTTCAAGTCTGAAATAAACTGAAGGGAAAGAGATCTCATGTGAAAGCAAGATTAAAAAGAAAACTACTAAAATGTGAATGGGATGGTAAGTAACAGAAGTAAAAAGGAATACAAAATGGTAAGGAAGAAAAAGAGAGTAAGCCACTTAACTGAAATCATCATTCAAGGATGAAAGCTCTTGGGAAACATACAGATGGCTAGCAGACACATGATAAGATACTGATCACTTATCATCAGGGAAATACAAATCAAAACTTCAATGAGATATCACCTCACACACTTGGCAGAATGGCTTAACTCAACAACACAAGAAACAACAGGTGTTGGTGAGAATGCCAAGAAAAAGGAACACTCGGGCACTCTTGGTGGGAATGCAAACTGGTGCAGCCACTCTGGAAAACAGTACGGAGGTTCCTCAAAAAGTTAGAAACAGAACTACTCTATGACCCAGCAATTGCACTACTGGGTATTTACCAGCACCCAGTTTATGTTTATAGCAGCATTATATTTTTGCTCCTCCTCTATAGCTATATAACTATATAATAGCAGCAGTATTTATAATAGCCAAGATATGGAAGCAGCCCAAGTGTCCACTGGCAGATGAATGGATAAAGAAGATGTGGTATATATACATGATGGAATACTATTCAGCCATAAAAAGAATGAAACCTTGCCACTTGCAATGACATGGATAGAGCTACAGAGTATAATGCTAAGCAAAATAAGCCAGTCAAAGACCAATATCCTATGATTTCACTCATATGTGGAATTTAAGAAGCAAAACAAAGGGAAGAGAGAGAGAGAGAGAGAGATATCAAGAAACAGACTCTTAATTATAGAGAACAAATTGATGGTTACCAGAGGGGGATGAGGTGATGAGCAGAGGATGATATATGGAAGTGTTGAATTACTACCTTGTACATCTAAAACTAATATAATACTGTATGTAACTAAGTGGAATTCAAATAAAAACTTTAAAAAAAAAGATGAAGGCTCTTATCAAATGGATTTCTAGAAAACCAAAATAATATCCCCCTTATAGCTGGCCCTCAATATTTTAAACCTTAGGATTTGGGAATTCAAACTAAAGCAAGATTGAATAGAATGCTAAAATCAAGAATCTGCCTCAGAAGCCCAAAGAAAATAGTTCTGCCTGTTAATGAGTTATTTAAAAAATTACAAATTAAAAAAAATAATTCAAATTATAAATTTTTAAATACCAAAATAAAGACAACTTGGATTCAGATGCCCCTGAGGAACACAATTCCAGATGAATGCAAAGGTAAATGCTAAGAAGCACAACAAATTCCTAGAAGTGGTCAAATAATGACCACAGGGAGAATACACAATCAAAAGGAGTGGATGTGAAAAGGACCACTTAAAAAATCAAAGTGATTGCAAAGCTTTGGCTGCCACAGGGAATCATGCCTACCTCCACCATTTGTTACCACTAAACTGCTGCGATTCTCCTGGTACTGGCTTTCTCTTCGTAATCTTTGTTCTTTAGTAATTTCTGCTACTCGAAGTGGCAGATCTGAAAATTCATCTGTAGGCTTAAAAAAAAAATAGCACTAACATTTAACCACATTTCAAACTTTAAACAACATAGTATTTAAAGCATGGACATAATAGGAACTCACTAAAATTTATATTTAAGAAGAAACAGCAAAAAAGTACTGGAGTGGTGGTGGTGACGGTTTTTCAACAGTATGAATGTACTTATGACTGGTTAAAACGGTACATTGTATGTTATGTATATTTTACTACAATTAAAAAGAGATGAGAAGTTATACATGACTCTATAAATAAACATGAATTTAAAGTATCTATACAGGTATCTTCAGGGATACAGATATAGTTATGCACACACCCACTCACACATACACAAGCAATTTCAAATTACAAATGGGCTGTGGTCTGAAGTTAATTTGCTTTGGAAAGAAAGAAACAATGTTACAAATGCAAATGTGAGGTTATCAGTCTTGTTAACAAAAGCTTATTTCATCAATTAAGCCAATGTAGAACTAAGATAGTCTACCTTTTAATTTAAATAGGGAAAGCATAATAATAATTAAACTCAGGAGAAAAAAGATATAATCAGCTAAGAAAATAATTTATCTTGAGCATGTTAATAGTCTAAGGCTCCTGCCTCATTACCCATCAGCCTATAGTCCTATTTTCTCATCACCCAGCACCCCTTCTACTACCTCTGCTCAAGGTTACCCAGCCTGGCAAATTTTAGGCTTCAGTTGTAATTGGCTCAGTTCCCATTTGGCTTTCCAGGATTTTAAGCTATTTATACAAAACATATAAAACACTTGGTAAAAAGATGGCAAAGAAACAATACAATTTCTGGATTGTACCTCTCTGTGTGATTTTTTTCCTCTCTCTTGGCTTTTCTATATTTTGCATAATGAGAAATTGAATCTAATTAAGATACTTTCCATTTTCATCATTTTATTGCTTCTTAGTCAGGAGTTGGAACATGCAGAATAGAAAAAACACTTACTTCATTCCCTGACCATCTCTTATCACCACTGTCCACACTATTGAAACCTGAATCAAGAGCTCCATAAGGGCGACCTGAGTACATTTCTTCATGGCTGCAAAAAAAGAGAGTCTAGCTGTTACTGGGAAGTTTGAGGTTTTAAAATTAACATTTGAAATAAACTGAATGCAATTTTACTAAGAAACATTATCATGCAATTTAGTGATTTAACTTACTTAGAACTAAATGGGCATTCTTTTAAAAGTTTTTTTTAAATGTTTATTTATATTTGAGAGAGGAGACAGAGAATGAACAGGAAAGGGGTAAAGAGCGAGGGAGGCACAGAATCTGAAGTGGGGTCCAGACCTCTGAGCTGTCAGCACAGAGCCCAAAGGGGAACTTGAACCCACAAACTGTGAGATCATGACCTGAGCCGAAACGGGCTCTCTACCAACTGAGCCACCCAGGCACTCCCACATGGACATATGTTTAACTTTTAATATGAAAAATTCCAAATTAAAATAAATAGACTAGCATAATGTATACAAATATAACAGCACTTATCCCGTTTCAAAAATATCAACATGCTGCCATTCTTGTTTCATCTATGCCACTAACCCATTCACCATGCCTCCCTCAATTCTTAACAGTACTTTTTAAGGTAAAATTCATATACACTGAAATGCACATACCTTAAGCTATATACTTGACAAATGAATACATCTTTGTAATATACACCTCTCTCATGATAGAAGACATTTCTACTTTGCCAGATAATCCCCATACTTATCAGTCAATCCCCCTCACCACGGTACAGGGTGCTCCTAAGAGATAATCACTATTCTGGTTTTTTTTCACCTTAAATTAGTATGGAAGGCAGAATAACAGTCCCCAAAGATGTCCAACGCCTAATTTCTGGAACTATGAACTATGAATATGTGACTTTGCATGGCAAAGGGGAATTAAGGTTGAAGATAAAAATAAAATTGCTAATCAGCTAATCTTAAAAAAATAGGGAGATTATTGTGAAGTATCTGAATGGGCTCAATGTAATCAAAAGGTCCTTAAAAGTAGAAGAGGGAAGCAGAAGAGGAGGTCAGTGTGACGCAATGCTGGCTTGAAGAGGACTCTTGGTCTAGAGTCAAGGACTGCAGACAGCCTTTCTCCAAAAGCTGAAAAGGCAAGGAAATGTATCTTACTCAGAGCCTACAAAGAACAAAGCTCTTTCAGCATTATGATTTTAGCCTAATGAGACCAAGATTTAGACCTCGAACCTACAACACTGTAAGATAACAAATTTGTGTTTAAAAATTGAAGTTTGTGGTAATTCATTATGGCAGCAATAAAAAAGGAATACAATTAGTTTTACTTATTCTGAAACTCATAAAAATGGAATCATATGTAATTTTAAAAACCTGGCTTTTTTTGTGGCTCAGCATTATGTCAGTGAAATTCTTGACGGTTTTAATACTTTCAAATGGAATGGATAAATTGATATGTATAGGCTTAACTTTTTGAAAAAAAAAAACTACCGATCTGTTTTTGAAAGGAGCTATATTATTTTGCATTCACTCAGCAACGTCTCTGAGTTCCCCCTGCCAACACTTGTGTGGTCAGTCTTTTAGCTATTTTGGTAGGTGAAAAGTGGTATCTCACTGTAGTTTTAATTTACATCTGTCTGATGACTAATGATATTGTTTATCATTTTGTGTGTGTTGGCCATTCATTTGCCTTCTTTTTGTGATATGTCCATTCTTTTGCCTATTTCTAAGTACATCAGTAATCTCAAAAGTAGTTTGCTAAGAAGCCAGACACACAACACTACATAATACTTGACTTCATTTATATGAAACTCTAGGAAAGGCAAAACTATATTGACAGAAAGCAGAGCAGTAGTTGCCTGGGGTTGAGTCATCTACTGTAATGGTTGATGGAACATGGTTGATGGAAATGCTATCTATCTTGATTGTGTTGGTAGTTTCATGACTACATCCATTTGCCAAAATTCACTGACCTGCACACTTAAAATGGACAGATGTTATTATTTGTAAATTATACCTCAATAAAGCAGTTAAATCTGCCAAATACTTTGGTCAAAGTACCTGTCCCATTTTTATAATTTGTAAGGAACGTATGAGAGCATTGGTTGCTCCACATCCTCAATAAACATTTGGTGTTGTCAGGTTTTTTTTTTTTAAGTTTATTTAATTTGAAAGAGAGAGAGACAAAGGGACAGAGAGACAGGGAGAGAGAATCCCAAGCAACAGAGCCTGACGTGGGGCTTGACCTCACAACTGTGAGATCACCATCTGAGTGGAGATCGAGGGTTGGATGCTTAACGGACTGAGCTATTAAGGTGCTCCACTGTTGTCAGTTTCAATTTCGTCATTCTAGGTGCTGTGTAATGATGTCTTGTGCCTTAATTTACATTTCTATGATGATTAACGATGTTGAGCACTTTTTATGGGTGCTTAGTGGTGATTGGTATATCTTTCTTTGTTAAATATCTATTCAAGTCTTTGTCCAAGTTTTTAAAGTTTATTTACTTTGAGAGAGAGAAAGAGAGAGAGAATATGGGAAGCGGCAGAGAAAGAGAGGGAGAGAGAAAATCCCAAGTAGGCTTTGCCCTGTCAGTGCGCAGCCCAATGCAGGGCTTGGTCTCAGGAACCATGAGGTCATGACCTGAGCCAAAATCAAGAGTCAGATGCTTAACCGACTAAGCTACCAAGGTGCCCCTACTGAACAGTATTTTAAAACATTATGTATTTTTTTTTTTCAAGCAAAGGCTTTCAGATTTCTAGAAGAAAATGATAGGTTATTGCAAAGATTCTATTCATTTCTTTATGAAAAATTTCACAGTAATATTAAGCATATCTCAGTTGACCACTTGATAGATATAATGTATACTCATTTTATGTTCTTTATTTGCTACCTTTAGTTTCTCCACATACTCTCTCTTGCTCAGAGTTTAAACTGGTAAGATTAAAGTGAGACATACAGGTTTACCAATTCTCAGGTTGGCTTAGGATTTTCTTGGTTTTAGCACTGTGAGTCCTGTGTCCCAGGAAAACCTTCAGTCACAAGTAAACCAAGATACATGGATAAATAGGGCCTTCAGGACGCCTAGCAGAGTTCTGCCAGCCAGGCTCCCGTGATGCCCTGTCAGAAAGCCTACTCTCCCTAATAAACCACCTAGCACTACATGGACTCAAATGTGGAAGTGCCCCTTCTGGAGGAGGAACATGAACTGTGAGTCAGTATAGTGCAGTGAGGGGCACAAAACATAACAAGTTTTCTAGCTGAACAGATCTGGATTGGCAACTTGGCACCACCATTTACTAGCTATGTGACTTTAATTAACTTACTTAACTTCTCTCAACTTCTGTTTCCTCATCAGTTAAAGGGGGAAAAAAAGATTAGCAGCACCTACACCTCATCGATTTGTCATACTGAGAAAATACAAGCTAAGGATTTGCACAAATCCTATTGTAAAGCACTAAGTAAAAGTTATTATTATCTCTATGAAGAATGTAGCCTTTAAAGAGTATTTACTGTTATGTCAACTCACTACATCTGCTTCATTTGAGTTCGGTTCACCTAACATTTACTGAATGTGACATAGTGTGCTAGATGCTAAGAATATTGAGTATGAATAAAGGACAATTATTGCTTTCACAACAAGCTCAGGCTTGTTGGAGAGAATTAATTCTGTAACTGGGGCTACAGAAGCAGGACTTTTCTTAGTCCTTCTTACTGTTTACTTAGTCTTTCCTCACTGCCACATTACCATAAATAAATAAATGTTTAGTCTGTAATATAAAGCTGGTGAAAATCATCTCAGCAAAAAAGTATAGGTCACTATAGATCATCAGGGAAAACTACATGTGCCACTGTGTAAAACATAATTAATCATAACAGTGCAACTTGCTAAAAGAGTTGGAAACATTTACACTTAGAAATAAATAAAATATTTGTGACCTTTATAAAATGACTTAAGGAAGACTGTGTGTTGTTTTTATATTACACAAAGGTAGTCAGAAAGTTACATCTAAGGATTGAAAAGTACCCCAGCATCTAATCTGTACTGAATACTTGAAGAGCTATAGGATTAATAAAAATTCTCTTCAGCAAGACCAGACTCTTAGGACTAAACTAGTCCTAGAACACAGTAGACAGCTAGTAATTATAATGCCTAATATTTACATAGGACTTTATGGTCAGCCAAGCACTTTCAGAAACAGGCCATTTAATCCTCAGAACTACTGTTAAAGTATCAACAGGGTAAATAAAGATCATGTTAAAGTGGGGCGCCTGGGGGGCTTAGTTGGTTAAGCGTCCGACTTTCGCTTAGGTCATGATCTCGTGGTTCATGGGTTCGAGCCCCGCGTCGGGCTCTGTGCTGACAGCCAGCTCAGAGCCTGGAGCCTGTTTCGGTCTGTGACTCCCTCTCTCTCTGACCCTCACCTGCTCATACTGTCTCTCTCTCTCTGTCTCAACTAGAAAGAAATAAAACATTAAAAAAAAAAAAAAAAGATCATGTTAAAGAAACTGAAATCCAGAGGGGTTAAGTCAACTTCCCAGCAGTACAGGCCCCCAATAGTACAGGCATTCTGGCTCCATAACAGCATTTTGAATAAAATTACTGCCAACTAAAATGCAATTTCACTGTTCTGTACCTCAGTAAAAAAGACATAAAGGTATAATTTCCCATTTACTGCTGTGTGAGAAGTTAAAGGAAGTATTTTATTCACACGATATGAATATAAAATAATTTCTAGGACATTCTGAAACAATTACAAATATAGTAACATAACTCCAGAAAAATATGAAAAATACAGAATACAGATTAATCTAGTGAGGATAATGAAGGATTCTTATCAAGACTGGGAGATACTAGATCTATAATTACCAATCTTTTGGAAAGACATGACATGATTATGCTATTTAGACTTTCCATTTAGGATACACTTCTCCAAGGATTTAATCCTTTTATCTCTTTGCAAATATACATGTCTCTTGCCAGTTTTTAAAATATATGTATATTTTAAATATTTTTAAAGTATTATGATGAGGATTTTCCTATTAAAAAAAATTAGGGGGCATCTGGGTGGCTCAGTTGGTTGGGCATGTGACTCTTGATTCAGCTCGGGTCATGATCCCAGGGTCGTAGGACTGAGCCCTAAGTTGGGCTTTGTGCAGAGCACAGAGTCTGCTTAGGATTCTCTCTCTCTCTCTCTCTCTCCCTCCCCCTCCCTCCCTCTTTCTCTCCTCCCTTCTGTCCCTCTCCCCTACTCATGCATTCTCTCTCTGAAAAATCCAAACAAACAAAAAAAATTAGGCCAAGATCAATTAGTCCTCAAAACTAAGAACTCAATGACAGAGAGAAACAGGCTCTGCAATTAGCACTATAGGCCTCAATCAAAGCTCATTATTCTGATAGATGCTGATGCTGCCTCCTTAGTCTTAGGGCATACCTTCACATATATGTCCCCAGTAGTCAGCATTCACTGCCTTACACTCTAGTCTCAAAGGCAGCAGTAGCAGTTTATGTTCCTATTTGCTATTTCAGGAGAGGAAAACTTTTCCTTACCAAAGATTATTAACTCCAAGGAGGAAAATAAAAGCTATGTGAATTTGTTGTACATCTTTCCCCCGCCTCCCTTCCTTCTTTTTTTAAACAGCAGTTACTAACTTTGTTATTTTTTTAATGTTTTATTTATTTTTGAGAGAGAGAGACAGAGAGAGACAGAGCATGAGTGAGGGAGGGGCAGAGAGGGAGACACAGAATCTGAAGCAGGCTTCAGGTTCTGAGCTGTCAGCACAGAGCCTGATGTGGGGCTCAAAACCATGAACGTGAGATCACCTGAGCTGAAGCTGGACGTTTAACCAACTCGGCCACCCAGGTACCCCTATCTGTTGTACATCTTTCAAGAGTACAGAACTAGAACACATTTAATGAAATCTTTGAATAGGAAAAACAAGACTTTTCTCAATAAATAATACAAGAGTTCTACGTTATAAGAAACTAACCAAGGTAGGAGTAAAAAGAAATGAAGAAAGAAAAGGATATAATGAATGGAGAAAATTTAAAAACTCTTGGCAATAATGGTCTGGGTCCCCTCAGATTCTTCCCACTGTCAAAGTCCTTCCTCCAAGACAGGTCTAGATCTAGCACAGATTATACCAGACCTAATCCCTACCATCTGTCAAAACCTTTTATGTCTTCCTTAACATCACATACCTGCTTTCAGTTTTCTCAGAGATACAAGTGTTAGAACTAAGATGTTCTTGTAGAAATTTTTTATGAGTATATATGATATTGGTTAATTTCTCCTTGTGTGTTTGTATAAATACACTAAAACTTGTATTACTGAATGCTTAAACAACCAGATTAGAGCTAGTGTTTTAAATATCCTTCATAGTGTCTATTTAAATCTTCAATCTAACAGTCAAGCCAAAAAAACCTCCTGTCTGTGGCAAACACTCAGGTGAACTAGAGATACAGTGGTAAAGAAGAAAGACACCTTCTGTGGCAAAGGGCAGGGATCAAGTCCCTTGGGAGTAATACTTAATTTGCTTGAGAAATCAGGTTCTGTATTTTCAGATAGCTTGAGATTACTCCTTTACACCATAATCACTTAAATATGTAATCCCAGTAATTTCTGAAGAGAAACATTTAAACTGTAATGCCTATATCCCTTTACTGTAAATGACATATCTAATATACCTTAGCATTTTCTTAATGAGCATCAATTAATGTACTGTGCTATAACATAGTAATAACTTAAAATATTACTGAAATATGGAGGGTTCTTTGCATATATGTCTAATGGTGTCAAGTTGCTATATTTTTAGTGTGTCTTGATTTTAAGTATCTTATTAAAATTATGCAATATATCATATAGATAAAAAAAAAAGAATATAACAGACGTAAGTTTTTTTTTCTTTAAAGAGAGAGAGAAAGAGAGAGAGAGCGTGCGAGCATGAGCAGGGGAGGGTCAGAGAGAGAAGGAGACACAGAATCAGAAGCGGGCTCCAGGCTCTGAGCTGTCAGCACAGAACCCGCCGCGGGGCTCGAACCCAGGAACCGTGAGATCATGACCTGAGCCGAAGTCGGACGCTTAACCAACTGAGCCACCCAGGTGCCCCCAGACATAACTTTTAAAACATGATGGAACATGAATACCTTTACAGCTCATTTATGCCTCTTTCATACCAAATCTTCCTCTTCTCAGAGTTAACCACTAACTTGAACTTTTTGTTTAATATGTGTTGCTTTTTAAATTTTATTTTGGGGCGCCTGGGTGGCTTAGTCGGTTAAGCGTCCGACTTTCTCTTAGGTCATGATCTCGCGGTTCGTGGGTTCGAGCCCCGCGTCGGGCTCTGTGCTGACTGCCAGCTCAGAGCCTGGAGCCTGTTTCAGCCTGTGACTCCCTCTCTCTCTGACCCTCCCCTGCTCACGCTGTCTCTCTCTCTCTCTCCTAAAAATAAATAAAACATTAAAAAAATTTTAAAAAAAAATAAATTTTATTTTTTCCTTCAACTTATTTTTTGTACTTTTAATATGTCTGCTTTTACAAACTCTACCAAAATAGAAATTTGTTAATCTGTTTTAAACTAGGATACTGAGAAGCAAGCTCATCAGGACTGTGCTTTTATGTAAAATGTGACAGGTTCTAGGAGAAAGCCAGAGGGGTTCTCTCTTTTTTTTTTTTTTTAACAAATAGTTTATTGTCAAATTGGTTTCCATATAACACCCAGTGCTCATCCCCACAGGTGCCCTCCTCCATGCCCATCCCCTCCTCCAGAGGGGTTCTCTTTGGAATAAGGCCTTGTTGGAGATACCCATTTTGCCTGTTTAAAGGCCTTCTGAATACTCTAAAACTAATGCTACTTCAGTTGTTCCAAATGGTTGAGAATGCCAAGGAGATAACCTTTTAAGTCAGGTGTTATGCAGCCAAAGGGTTCACAAGCTAAAAGATCCTGAAAGTAATATTAATGGTCATCAAATCCAAACTCTTCACTCTCTATTGAAAAAATGAAGCCCAAAAAGTCTGAATGACTTCAAGTCATAGAACTAGTTAACAGCAGAGCCAACGTTAGCATTCAAGTCACTCAGATCACTGGTTTTCAACTGGGAATGCCCGCAGGGAATATCTGGCAATGTCTGGAGATATTCTGTTTGTCTGTCACTTTGGAGGGTGGTACAGAAGCCAGGAATACGGATAAACATCTTCTGAATTACAGGACAGCTTTTCACAACAAAGAACTATCTTGCCCAAAATAGCAACAATACTGAGATTGTTGAAACCTTAACTTAGAGTTACACTTTGTCCATCTATGTAATCAACAAGTATTCTGAGATAGACAAGTGCCAAAATAGGTTATTTCCTTTTAGTTAAACATTCAGATTTAGGGTCTAGTTTGATTCCCTGTAAGACGAAATACGTTAAATTAAAAAATAGAACATACTCACCAGGAACCAAAACCCAAGGGTCTCCTATCATAATCTGGCAGATCTGGAGCAATCTTACAAGCCTGTATGTTCAGGTACTTAAATATGTGCACTTTGCCTTTTATACATATCTAAAAAAAGGAACACATAAAAGCAACCAATTTATTACTCATCTTAAATATATGTATCCCTTTTTAAAAGTCATAATCAGCTTTTTACTTACAGTATATTAGAAATAGAAGGCATTTCTATCAACCATAGACAGTGATATTAAAAATCTAATACTTATTACATTATAACATATTTGTTATTTTATGTATTTATTTGAAATGTACATATATGTACATATATATACACACAGATTTTATTTTCTAGTCATAATAAAATTTCAGTAACATATAAAACAAATAACTTATAAATAGTGATAAAATACCAAGTAAATTTATCACACTGATTAGTTAGACACAGTCAGGAATAAATTATAAATATGTTTTGAATCCTACTTTCTGTAAGAAAGAAAAGATTAAATATTAAAGTTCTATTTCTGTTGACAGAAGTAAAAACATAAACTCTTTAGGATTATGAGATCCTTCCACAGTTAAGAAGTTTACTCATAAAGCTTTATAGTTGCCATCCAGAGGTTTGAACAAGACCACAAATCAACTATAGAGCACAAACTACAGTGAAAAATAAAGGCTGGTAAAGTTGTTCAGATTATAGGATGTCTAGAATCTACACATGAAGCTACCTTATAATTACTTTATTATCAGTTTCATATCAGCCACTGATAAACAAATGACCAAACTGACTAAATGAGGAACTTAAAGACTTTAGAAAATAAAAAGGTATAAAAAAGATGGTCAAAAGAAACGTACTGATAATCCTTAGTTCTGGAAGCCAAGTATTTGTCTCTAGCCATTTACATTGCCTATATTCAAGTTTTACTAGAAAGAAATTAACTCAAATTTTATTAGAAAAACTTTAAGAAAGAACCCTTCAACTTAAAAAAAAAGTCAATTCAATGAAAGGAAAAACACACTCTGCAAACATTACTGTCCTCCATCCCATTTATTCAAGGCTTCTAAAGAATGCCTATGTGTGTGAATTTATTTTAAAAGAACTTCATTTCCAACAAAAAGATAAATGCACAGAACTTCAAGTTTTAAATTCACCCTTTGTCAAAAAAGTTCACAACATCCTTCAAATCCGGTAGAGCTTACCTGTGCGGGAGGAGACTGTAGTGGATTGTTATCTAGGGTGATCATCTGAAGGTGCCTGAGGTTCCGATAACAAACGGGGATTGTTGTAATTTTATTGCAGGAGAAGTCGAATCGTATTAAAGGCAACTCTGCCAGCTCTGCAGGGTGATAAGACAGAAATGAACAACTGATGATATTTCAAAACTAGACAAGTTTTATAGGCGCTTCTAATTAAATACAGTGAATTTAATGTATTTATCTCCATTCTTTCTTAATGATGAACTGATACTGTAAAATGAAATCTAGTTACTCACAGATGGTAATACTAATAAAAAGTGAGCTGTGTTACCCCTCACCGAACTAAAGAAACCGGACTCCTCATACCACAGAAATACAGGCATAACCAAGGGACCAGATGACAGTCTGTACAAAAAACAAGTTAAATGCCTAAGTCCCCAACCTCAACTCATGCAGCTAGGGCACTGCCCCTTTCCAATCACCGCAGGAGTCAACAAGTTATTCTCTGAGGCTTTGAACTCAGGAACCTCAGGCACAATAGAAAGTCAGGATAATGAGTTGCCAGTTGAAACTGAAGGCTTTAAGAGAAAGTCTTACACAATGATGAGATCTCAGCACTTATCCACCAACCTCAACCCATCTCCAGCTCTAGAATCTCAGTAATCTCCCCCCCTTATCCATGGGGAATACATTCCAAGATTCCCAGTGTATCCTAAAACCACGGTTAGTACCAAACCCTATATATAACATGATTTTTCCTATATATACATATCTGTATATATTTTATATATATAATCTTTTATATATATAATCTTTATACATATACATGATAAAGATTAATTTATAAATTAGGCACAAGATATGAACAAGAATAATAAAATAGAATACTTATAACAATGTAGTATAATAAAAATTATGTGATTATAGTCTCCCTCTCTCTCTCTCTCTGCTAGAAAAAAAGGGAGGAATTAGACATAGGGACATAAAAACACTAAGCAAATAAAAAAAAGAGAGAAGTTATTAACTCCAGAAAAACAACAACAATAAAAAAGATGTACAAAAAGAATAAATGAAATCAGAGCACCTGGGTGACTCACTCTGTTAAGGGTCTAACTTTGGCTCAGGTCATGAGCCTCATGTTGGGCTCTGTACTGACAGCTCAGAGCCTGAAGCGTGCTTTGGATTCTGTCTCCCTCTCTCTCTGCCCCTCCCCGACTCGTGCTCTGTCTCTCTGTTTCTCTTTCTCAAAAATAAATAAATAAATAAATAAATAAATACTAAAAATTAAAAAAAAAAAAGAAACGAAATCAGTACATCAACTGAATTGGCAGGGAACAATATTCATAAGTTAAAATAATGGAAATAATAATGCTTTGATCAGAAGTTATGACAGACCATACTGGGACGACAGTAGGAGGGAGGGGAGAGTATGATGGTGATAGTATATAAGTTAAATCCTCATCTACCACAATGGGAATCTCACATTAAGTGTCAAAATTGATAAATCAAGTAAAGCTCTTAAAGGCACATCACTTAGAAATGTCAGCAAAATGCCAGTGGAAAGAGTCAAAGGCAGAGAAGGCAGATGCTTTTAGACATTAAAGCTGGGGACAGGGATGGCTGAGGCAGAGGAATGCTATTATTGATTTTAAACTTTTTTTTTTTTTTTTTGAGTATTTGGGTTAGCACAAGGTGTTATATGAAAGTGTTGAATCACTATATTGTACACCTGAAACTAATCTTACACTGTATGTCAATTAAGTAGAATTTATTTATTTTTTTAATGTTTATTTTTGAGAGAAAGAGACAGAGCACGAGGAGGTGAGGGGCAGAGAGAGAGAATCCCAAGCAGGTTCTGCACTATCAGCACAGAGCCTGACTCAAGGCTCAACCCCACAAACCATGAGATGGTGACATGAGCCAAACCAAGAGTCAGTTGCTTAACTGACTGAGCCACCCCAGGTACTCCTCGAGAATCTAACTTTTAAAATCCACAATGAAACAGAGGCCCCTAGACAGTGCAGAATCTGCTGTGGATTCTCTCTCCCCCTCATTCTCTGTACCTTCCCCACACGTGCTTGCTCTCTCTCTCTCTCTCTCTCTCTCTAAAAATAAATAAACTTAAAAAATAAAAATAAAATAAAATCAACAATGAAACAGATAATATGTAATAACTAAACCATTATAATCTTGAACACTGGCTGTAGCTATCTATCATCCATCTATCTATTCATCTCAAATGTTTATTTATTTAGTTTTGAGAGATAAAATGTGCATGAGTGGGGGAGAGGCAGAGAGAGGAGGAGACAGAGATTCCTAAGCAGACTCCATGCTATCAGCACAGAGCCCAATGTGGGGCTCAAGCTCATGAAATGTGAAATCAAGACCTGAGCTGAAATCAAGCCACCCAGGTCCCCTGCTGTAACTCATATTTTTGTCTCGTATCTATTAGTTCTGAGAGACTTTAATATAAAAAGACAAAAAACAATAAAACAATTATTTCAGGACACCTGACTGGCTCAGCCAGTAGAGCATGCAACTCTTGACCTTAGGGTTGTGAGTTCAACCCATGGATGTGAGTTCATCCATGTTGGATGTAGAAATTCTTTAAAAAATAAATAAATAAAAAGAAAACAATTATTTCACAATTTCTTACCTTCAGGCAAACGTACTAAGTGATTTCTTCTGACATTAAGGTCTCTCAAAGCCTCCAAATTACCAACTTGGGAAGGTATTGTTTGAATTTCATTGCAGCTCACATCCTATTTCAAAAAGATACAAAGTAAAGAATTCTTCTAATATTACAAATTTGCCTGCTTTAAACCCTCTGTAAAATGAGGTTGGACAAAGATAATATTTATGGTGTGTCTTAACTGTAAAAAAAATTATGATTCTTTGTCCAAGAGTAATTCCATAGTTTATGCTAGTATTTAATTTTAAAAACTTATAGGCTTTTGATTTTATAGATGTTGTATGAATCTACATTAATTTTATGAGCAGGACAAAAATTAAATGACTTAAGACGTGGACAGGAAGCTTAGTATCAGATCAAATGAAAATTCTAATGAAAAAGTAAATTAGAAAAAAAGTATAAAAACATCTGTTTAGGACAATATTTTACTTTATATGTATTCTAATGAGACTAGAAGAAAAAAGCAAAACAATGATAAAAATTATAATGATAAAGTTAATTGAAAGGAAATCCTACTTTGAAAATACCAGTTCACCTGCTCCTCAAGAATATAAAATAAAAATGCACTGAAGATGACTCAAATCATTCTTTTTGAAACTGAAAGTGAGGGGAAAATAGTAAAGTACGCTTAACTATAGGCTACGGGAAAAATAGATACTGCCCTATTTGGCATCTGATCAAGTTGGTACCAATACGTGTATTATGCAAGCCTTCTGGTATCTTGGTCAACAGCTTGACAACACAGATTCTGAAAAGAGGCTAACTACAGATACCAAGACTGACAAATTCAGAATTCCACAACTCTGACACTAGCCAGAAAAAATGTATAAATCCATGGGGAACAGCAGGAAGTTGTCTAGCTTAATAAAAGCTCCAAGATGCCATGTTAACACTTAAAACTCTTCTAGTATATAAGCAAAAAGAATGTATTAATAGAGTTATTAGAAAAGATCACTTACCCAAAACTCCAAACATTATTTTAAAATTTTCCCACAATATTCTTAGAGAAAATAATATTATTTCTACTTTTCCTACCAATTAATGACTGAAGTGGAATAAGTAGCTATATTTTTTATTCCAATGCTCTGGGCATCAAAGTTAAAAGGAAAAGAAGTTGAAAGGATAGGGAAAATTGAGCTGAGCTAGAAGATAACAGTATTTCTAATATTTCTCTTGGAAAGTGTACATCTTGAAAGACAGGTTTCCTCTTACTTAAAAATGAAGAGAAATAGGGGCACCTGGCTGGCTCACTCAGAGAAGCATGAGACTCTTGATCTTGGGGTCATGAGTTTGAGCCCCACGTTGGGTGTAGAGATTACTAAAAAAAATAAATAAATAAAAGGGGGAAATGAAAGAAGCAATAGGATGTTGTGAGAACATGTTCTATCCAGTGGGAATCAAGGGCTCTGGGATTCTTAATTCTCACTCCGACACAAACTATTTGTATGACTGTGGATATCAATTCACTGCTTTTGTAGAAAGCTAAAAGCTCCTTCTAGCAGAACTATCTATTTTTTACGTATTTAGGGTTCAATAAGGAGAGTTTAAATGGCTGAAAATCAGAATTTGAATCACAAGTAGAATTTAACTACTAGTTCATGTTAATAACCAGGTTCTGAAGGGGGTGCCTGGGTGGCTTAGTAGGCTAAGCCTCTGACTTAAGCTCAGGTCATGATCTCAAGGTTTGTGAGTTCGAGCCCCACACTGGATCTGTGCTGACAGCTTGGAGCCTGGAGCCTGCTTTGGATTCTGTGTCTCCTTCCCTCTCACCCCTCCCTTGTTCACGTTCTCTCTCTCTCTCATTCTCTCTCTCTTTCAAAAATAAATAAACATTAAAAAAATAATAATAAATAACGAGGTTCTGAAGAAATGTCAACAAACATATATTCTGGACTTTATTTCCTAGATCTAACTGCTTCTAATACACCACAGTCTAGTATCTAGACTCCAGATTTAACATATTTGTAAATTTTCACATATGACCTTTTACATTCATAATCCACCTGAAAAAAAAGAGAGCTAATGTGTGGTCTAGTTAATTATATGTGTGTTTCTGTTCATAATATCTACCTTTGTTAATAAACTACATGGATCCTCTCAAATCTCAATGGACATAGCTATATTGGACCATTTCAGATATATGAAACATGGGCTCTGGAGTTAAGGTAGATTGGTTTAAAATTCTACTTCAGTTATGGAACTTTGGGCAAATTACTTAACCTAGCTAAGTGCTAGTTCCCTCAGCTGTAATACGATGATAAGTATTATACCTAATTCATAATGTTACTGTGGTGATTAAATGGAAAAGTTGCACTCCCATGCCCAGGACAGGAGTACTAAAGAGTAACAAGGAGTGGTACATGAAGTGAAGTTTCCTAGAAAACAGAAGGCAGTAAAGAATAGCTTACTTTAGAGAGGGAGATAGGTACTAGAGATAGCACTGTAGGGCCAAAAAAATAAGCCTGACCTTTGCAGTGCCCATTGCCCAAGAGGGGTTAACCCTAAATCAGAACACTGATGCTATTAAGATTTAATGTGAAAAATCCAAATGCATTATTAACTTATATCTCAAAAACTTATTAACATATAAATCACTTAATAATCACTTAATGGGACTTTGACCCATTCTACGTGGGCCTATTAGACTTGTACTTTCAGTTCCTTTCTTAACTCTGTGCTGAAGCATTTCAGTACTGATCAACCAGCAAAACTTCACTATCAATACCTGGAAAAACGCAAAACACACCTTAATACTGGGTCTTTCTTTACTACAAAATAGAGTATGGTATCACTACAGATATACATATATGTGAAACAATAAGAAAGTAAAACATTAACTTACAAGTTCTGTTAAATGTCTGAGATGTCCAATTTCTTCTGGAAGTGACACCAATTTGTTATTACTAGCAATTAAGACTTTCAATGGTAAATTACACAAGTGTACTGGCAATGTTGACAGTTGGTTCCGACTAAATGGGAAAGTAGAAAAAGAAAAGAATTAGAACTCACCACTCAAGAAAAAAAATTTTGTCTTTCCCATTCTATATTCAGTAAGTGACAAACATAAGTCATGGAAGGAACAAATAAGGTATCAGATTTGGGTTCGAGCCTCCATTTCCTCACTTATCAGCTTTGTGGTTTTAGGCACAGTATTTAACTTACCTGCTTTTTACAGATCCTCATCTGTAAATTGAGGATTTTAATCCTTCTCTACCTATCCTACAAGGCCATGTACCATAAAATTCCTTTGTATAAAGATGTGCTACATAAACACATATTATTACTTTATTAAAGTTAATTTTATGTAAGATAAAGTAATTTAAAAATATGGTAGGGGAACCTGGGTGGCTCAGTAATTAAGTGTCTGACTCTTGATTTCTGATCAGGTCATGATCTCATGGTTGGTGAGATAAAGCTCTGCATCAGGATCTGCACTGAGTGTGGAGTCTGCTTGGGATTCACTCTCTCCTCACTTCTCTCTCAAAATAAATGAATATTTTTTTTAAAAAATAGGGTGGGGCACCTGGATGGCTCAGTCGATCAAGTATCTGACTTTGGCTCAGGTCATGATCTCACAGCTCATGGTTTTGAGGCCCCCATCAGGCTTTGTGCTGAGAAATCAGAGTGCAGCACCTGCTCTGAATTCTGTGTCTCCCTCTCTCTGCGCCCCTTCCCTGTTCACACTCTATCTTTCTGTCTCTCTCTCTCTCTCAAGTATTAAATAAACATTTAAAAAAATTGGAGAGATGGCCATCATCCTCTCCCCTTGCTTCCAAAAAAGGGTTATAAACATAAAAGTAGTTGTAATTTACTTCTCTCATCATTATATACATTATAATCAAATGCACATAAATGATCCAAATATAGCTCTATAGAAAACAAGTGACAGGTTGTGATTTCAAATATATCACATCAGCTGAAGTATAGGTAAGGAATTTCATTTATATAAAAACATACAAAATCAGAGCTAAAAGTACACACCTATCATTAGGATAAAAGTAAGTTAAAACCTTACTTATCTAGATTTAACCTGCTAATCTCTATGGTCAATTGACCCCATTTTCAAGATCTTTTGCTGATTTTACTAATATAGATCATGAGCCTATAAAACTTTTTAAATAATTCTAATTCCTAGACATTTATCTTAAGGAAGGAGAAAAATAAACATTTACATACCAGTGTTAATACTACTTTATCACAGCAAAAAAACTGAAATAAACTAAATATCCAAGAGGGAAAATGAGTTTTAGAAGTATACAAACTGTACAGTAAAATTTTTACATACAAAAATATTTTGAGAGTATTTCATGACAAGGAAAAAACTCATTTAAAAATTTGACAAAAGCCTGGATAAAAAGGAAAAATATCACCTATAACTATAAAACTCAAATATAACATTTTGGTGAATATCCTTTACACCTTTCTACATTTGCTCATTTTCTCCAATGAACAACTGTAACTTTCATAATTTAAAAAAGGTCTTTCAAGATATGAAAAAGTGGAAATAAGTTAAATAAATGCATTTACACATTCAGAACTTAATATACAAAAATACTTAATCACAAGAATGAAAGTACTTTCAGATCTACTATCCTCATCTGATATAGCTTATTTGAAAATCTAATTGAAGAACCACAGCTATAAGACTGTTGCAATCCTATCAGACTAATGACCCTTATAGTTACAAAGCTAAAGACAAAGGGAAAAACAAGGAGGGCACAGGAATATTGTTAATTCAGCCTAAGAACATGTATCGATACTGCAGATATGAACAGATAATGTAAATTTTAGTGAAAGCCAAGAGAGAAGTGAAAAGACCACATGAAAGCAAAAATAAAACAATTTTTAAAAAGAAGAAGAAGAAGAAGAAGAAATTCCTTACCTAATATTTAAGAATGTTAGAGCTTGTAGGTTTAGAATTGCCTCTGGTATATACCGAATACAATTTTGGTATAAGTTGAGATTCTCAAGAGAAACGAAATGACATGCTTCTATGGGAATTTCTGAGAGGCGATTTCGTGACAGATCTGAAAGAAAAATAAATTGTGAGGTTAATTCTTGCAATGTATTTTATTGAAATGTTAGGTAAATAAGCAGGTTTCATGACTGAATTCCCAAGAGTTCCTATTTTAGAGACTCGTCCAGAGTAAACATTCAAATACTTATGAATATTGAAAAAACCATTTTAACATATGCCTCTACATCTTTTTGATAGGAAATACTGATTCTTTTTGAATTTCCATGTATACTTTAAAAATAAAACCATTAGGGGCGCCTGGGTGGCTCAGTTGGTTAAGCACCGACTTCGGCTCACGTCATGATCTCGTGGTTCGTGGGTTCAAGCCCTGCATTGGGATCTGTGCTGACAGCTAGCTCAGAGCCTGGAGCCTGCTTCAGATTCTGTATCTCCCTCTCTCTCTGGCCCTCCCCTGCTCACACTGTCTCTCTCTCTCAGAAATACATAAAACATTAAAAAAGTTAAAAAAAAAATAAAACCATTATTTTTTGCAAGTAACACAAATTCTAAGGCATATCTGCCTACGATTACACCAAAGATCATAATAAGTATCAAATATCCTAGGAAACAATGGGTCCCTAAAATCCACCATCCCAAAAGCACAGAAACATTCTGAGGTTTTTAGAAAAGAAAGCAAAACTGAGCAAAAAATACTGCCCTTTTCTTTATTAAGAGTATGAAGGTCATGTCAAAAGGGTTCAGGAACCATTTTTGCGCCAACTACCCAAAATGAGACAATTTGAGCTTCAATAAAGATAATAATTGTAAAGGACTCAAATCTATCACATATATTGAATTATACTAGCTTATAATGACATCTCCCCCCTTTCCCAAGACAATAGAGAACCAATTCATTATCTTGTAAACTGACAAAGGGCGAAAATCAAACACTTATCTTGCCTTCCTTATATGAACTGTACCACTGAGTAACCAAACAGATGAAAAGAGGCATCTTTGTGTTAAGTGGTCTAGCTATCAATGAAAAGTAATGATAGAATCTAGAATTGGGTACTAGGGAGCCTGGGTGATCACTTGGTTAAGTGTCCAACTCTTTTTTTGGCTAGGGTCATAATCTCACAGTTTGTGGGATCAAGCCCTGTGTCCAGCTCTGTGTTAACAGCGTGGAGCCTGCTTGGGATTTCTCTCTGGCCCTCCCTCTTCCTCTTTCAAAAAAAAAAAAAAAAAGTTCAGAATTGTGTATTAATGACTATTTTTACAAAAAGATGATCAGAGGGGTGCCTGGGTTGCTTGGTCAGTTAAGTGTCTGACTTTGGCTCAGGTCAAGATCTCACAGTTCATGCATTTGAGCCCCATGTTGGGCTCTGTGCTGACAGCTCAGAGCCTAGAGCCTGTTTCAGATTCTGTGTCACCCTCTCTCTCTCTGCCTCTCCCCTACTCTCTCTCTCTCAAAAATAAATAAACATTAAAAAAAATTTTTTAATGATAATCAGAAGTTGTATGCCTCCCTACAGAAGAAGAGAACATCACTTATGGTCTTGCCAGGACAGAACCTACGTCTAATCAAGCTTTTGCAAACTTTCAGGAAGTGCAGAAGGCAAAGGAATGTGCTGAAATACAGTCACTCTATCATTATCCACTTAGCCTTAGTTAAATATACTGTGAGATTCATTTGCTTACCACTGTTTTTCTCTTCTTCTCTTCCTCTGCCCAATCTTAAAGTCTCTGCTGGCAATTACTTGGTGACAATCCTGTACTAAAAACTTTTCCTAAATGGAGGACCTGAATTCCTACATATCCGCAAGTATCTTGCTTTCACCATAAACATGCGAATAATACTTGGCTAGGTACAGGCACAGTTCCTCTCTTAGGAATCTGTAGATTTATTTTACTACCTTCTAAGTTTCCAGTGTCCCCTTGAGTAATCTGGCACATATCTTGATGATTTTTCCTTTGTAAACAGCTTGGGTTTGGGTTTGTTTTGTTTTTGTTTTGTCTCCCCTTCATCCTCAACACTCTGGTCTCGAACTTAATCATTCTTTAAATCAGAGAAATGCTCCCCTATTATATCTTTAGTTGTTGTATCTCCTCCTTTTGCTCTCTCCTTCTCTATTTTTTATTTACTTACTTACCTACCTACCTACCTACTTATTTATTTTCTGTTTTGGTATATCTTCTACTTAATGTTCCAGACCAGGAATTTGAGTCCTCTCACCTTTTCTTCTCCTTCTTCTTCTTCTTTATGCTATGATTAGAGGCGTGTCACTTTTTTTCTCCCAAAAATCTAGGATAATTTATTTTGTTTTGCCTATTAAATCTGTCACCTATCACCTTCAATTTCTATTTCTGACTTCTGACTGAAGTCACTTGTTCTGGTGACTAGAACTATAGTAACTAGCAATCCTTGTTCATCTTGCCTCTGGCTGCTGGAGTTCCTTCAAGTGAATTACTTTCCTTTGCTAATTCATGGCTTGCCTCATCTTTGGAGCTCAGATCAAGCTGCTTGAGTACTCTGAATGGCAATTAACACCAAGATTGAGGAAACAATCCCTAAAATGAATCAGAAGCTTCCACTCAGAAGCACAGCTTTTTCTGAGAACTCAAAAATTGTAATAGCTGCTCCACAGGCTTTTGCCTCTTGTTTTCATTTGGATCACAGTATGTTCCCCAAACTCACGTATTCCCTCCAGGCCACACCAGCCTGCATGCCTCAGAGCTGCTTACTCTGAAGTTGGGAAACAGATCACCATCTTGCCAAAATGCCTCCCCATATTGTATTCATTAGGAGAAAGTTAAAGTCTTGTTAAAGGAGATCATCAAGTACTTAGGACTAAAAATTTCCTACAGAATCACACTGTAAACAGCCTCTTTCTTACTAAATGCAACAAGAATTATTTTTTTTTTATCAATTCCTATTTAAATTTTATTAGTATAACTTTAAAAGTTGAAGAAATGAGGAGTGCCTGGCTGGCTCAGTGGGATGAGCTCTCATGTGGCTCTTGAGCTTGGGGTCTTGAGTTCGAGCTCCATGTTGGGTGTAGAGATTATTTAAATAAATAAACTTTTATTAAAAAGTTGAAGAAATGAAAGAAATTAACCTCATTAAAAACTGTTCGTTATTTAAATTTAACCCTCTAAAATGACAACTCCAGGCAACAAATTAAAGCAAGGACTACTGAGAGTCAATTTGCCTTGTATGTATATTATAAATTACTTAAAATCCAGGAAAATGAAACAAACCAATTCTGTCATTTTTTTGGTCCCCAAACTAGGGAGGGGAAAAAAATAACAGCAAGATATACACTAGGTTTAGATGCATCTCAGCAAATGTGTACTCCTTAACTGTTTTAATATTTAGCAAATTTACTCAGCCACCCACTCAGCTGACTGACTGAGCTACCCAGACACCCTCGAATTAAGGGTTCTTATAAGGTCTTGCACTTAAATTGTATTTTTATTTCAATTTGGGAAGACAAGTAGCTTCTTCCGTAAGTTAACTGAGTAATTTTTTTACACAGTTTAAATTCATGAAAGAGTCATTTAGGTCACTGATCATATTATGGAAAATATTGCAAAGTACTAATGGTTTATAAAAAGTATTTTTTGTCATATTCCCTTAAGAAAGAAGTAATTTTATAGTCGAAGAAATGTGATTTTAAAGTGACTTCAAAAAATAACCTTCAGGGGATGCCTGGGTGGCTCAGTATGTCAAGTGTCTGACTCTGGCTCAGGTTATGATCTCATGGCTTTTGAATTCGAGCCCTGTGTTAGGCTCTGTGCTGTTAGCTCATAGCATGAAGCCTGCTTTGGATTCTGTGTCTCCCTCTTTCTCTGCCCCTCCCCCCCCAAACAAACATTAAATAATAATAAAAAATAAAAAACTTTCAGTTAAAAAATTATAGATATATATTATTTTTTAATGTTTTATTAATTTCTGAGAGAGAGACAGCGTGAGCAGGGGAGGATCAGAGAGAGTGAGGGAGATACAGAATCTGAAACAGGCCCCAGGCTCTGAGCTGTCAGCACAGAGCCTGACACGGGGCTTGAACTCACGAACTGGGAAATCATGACCTGAGCCGAAGTCGGACGCTTAACCGACTGAGCCACCCAGGCGCCCCTGGATATGTATTATTCTTAAAACTCTTTCTGGTTATAAAAGCAATGATGTTAAGCTTCATACATGCAGAAGACTATATAAAACATATATATTTTTAAATACGGTATTGCCAGTACCCTAGAAGCCTCAGTGTAGCTCTTTCTAATCATAACCCTTTCCCTTTCCAAAAGAGAAACCAATCTATCGATTTTAGTGATAATCATTTCCTTGACAGTTTTAACACTTCATAATTTTTAGTATTAGTTTCCTATTATTGCTGTAACAAATTGCTTAAAACAACACAAGTTCATTATTTCACACTTCTGGACGTCAGAAGTCAGAAATAAGTCTCAATGGGCTAAAATCAAGGTGTGTTGGCAGGGCTGCATTCCTTCTGGAGCTTTTAGGGGAGAATCCATTTCCTTTTCTCTTCCAGCTTCTAGAGATGACCCATATTCCTTGGTTGATAGTTCCATTCCTCCATCTTCAAGCCAGCAATGTCAGGTAGAGGCCTGATGCTGCCCTCTCTGGTTCTCCTTCTTTTGCCTCCTTCTGCTTTTAAGGATCCTGTGACATGTTAAGGATCCTGTGCATCTCTCCTCACTCCCCAAATAGTCTAGGATAATCTTCCTGTTAGAATGTCTGCTGATTAGCACCTTAATTTCCCTTTGCTGTGTAACCTAACATATTCATAGATTAGAATGTAAACATTTTTACAAGGCCATAATTCTGCCTACCATGTCTATGAACTTTTTAAAAGGAGAAGCATACTGTATGTGTATTTTTTTGTGACCTTCATTCAACATTTGAGGTTTGATGGAGCTAAAAGCAGAAAAATGATCACCTTTAGCCCAGAAGGCTGACCTACAGCCTACAGTTTCTATAAGGATCAGTTTGTCATTCTCTTGTGAAGAGAATACTGCTGGTTGCTATATTCTTAAAGGTCTCATGATTGT